ACATGCACATGTACATGACAATTTTAACATATATCTATAGTGTATATATATAGACAATATATATATATATAGATAGATAGATAGATAGATAGATAGATAGATAGATATATTTGTACATCATGATGCAATCTACATATACATGCATACGTGCACATGTACACACACATATCTATATATATATATATATAGATATGTGTTAATATTGGCGGTCTCGATCCTAGGAAAGCTAGCAGCTAGCATCGAGGCCGGTCCACGACAAAGGAGAGCCACACGTGCAACCCTCCTCGATCGCGTGAGGAGCCCGGGTGGGCTCCTGAAGAACATGAACTGAAAAACAAAATTAATCGCCGTTACACAATTGGAGCCAGGTTGTAAAATAATATGTTGTGAGTCGTTGAACTCATATCACTCGATCTCTTGTGGAGGCTACCGAAAACCTCCAGAAGTACCTAGACAAAGCACATGCAGGAAACAAGTCCTCGATCCTCGCGACAAAATGTGAGCTGTCAGCTCGAGGCACATGCACTGCAAGCCTTGAGGATCGTGATCTCCACGTCGATATCCTGAACAAAAGCACATCCAGAGCACTTCAAGTTTGCACGTGGTTTGGACCCAGGCCTTGCAGAAGTACTTGACATCGATCCTGAAGCCCAGCCTGCAAGCAGAACGAGGGTTTAGGGGTTGAAGGTTTAATTAGTACAGGCCTGCATTCGGGAGAACCACGATCGACTCGATCTTGATGGCCAGCCTGCAAGCACAAGCAGGGTTTAGGGGTTGAAGGTTTAAGGGGTACAGGCCTGCATGCATTCGCGAGAACGACGATCGACTCGATCTTGATGGCCAGCCTGCAAGCAGAACGAGGGTTTAGGGGTTGAAGGTTTAAGGGGTACAGGCCTGCATTCGCGAGAACGATCGATCGACTCGATCGCGATGGAGCCCACGGTACGATCGAGGTCCTGCATGCAAGGAGTTTCACACCGAGATCATGCAATGCAGACACTATATAGATCGAATGGCATGCCTTGCATGCACAATCGATCCATCTTTTTTTCATACTGCCCGGCCCGTGGATCTTCTCGATCTAGGACACAACGATCGGCTGCACGTCTGCACTGCCGGACGGGCCTGCACGATCACCGCCATCCTCATCATCGTCATCTCCAGGAGGCGGCTTCCACAGGCAGATCGCCGTGCACAAAACCGGGTCCTCCTCGTCCTCCTCCTCTTCGTCGGGTTCCTCGCCACGATTGCGATAGCCCCATGCGTTCCAGGAGGATTTGGTTCGCTTGCAATGTTCTGCCCACCATGCCTTCCTCTTTAATCCCCTGTTCTTCTTCTTCTTTGGGTGCAGGCGATAGTACTCCATGTACTCGGCCGCTTTCTTGGGATTTGAAGGCGGCTGGCCGGCCCAGTTCTTGGCCACGTTCAGGTCCGGCACACCCATGAAGGACAACTGCCAGGGTTTAGGGTTGGAGGTTTAGGGGTTCATAAGGGTTCGGGTTTAGGGTTTTGGGGTTATATAAAACAATGTTAAACTCATCCAAGTGGCCCGGCATCGGACATTGAGACAAATCCGTTCGCGAAAGTAGGCGAGCTCCCCACAAACAGTGCATCTGCGAACGTATGACCCGTATGGAGTCGGCTCTTCTGTGGTTGGTGCCGGCGGTGCCGTCGGTGGCGGCAATGGCGGTGGCGTCGGTGGGAACTCCGGCGTCGGGAGATCGCCGAGCTCCTGGTCATCCTCACGAGGACCATCCGGATTGGCGCCCTCCAAGAACTCGCGGGCCACCGACTGGTGAGCACCCATGATCAAGCGATTGCGATCTTGCAGGATGCTTTTCGTCCCTTAAGCAAGAAGGCTGCGAAAACATGGGTGAGGAGCTGCAGCCTGCGTGATAGCATGCATGCAGCTACCTTGACCGCGATCCATTACTCTCGAATGGTCCTTGCAGAAGGAGAGCACGATGGCCCTCGCTGTTAACGTCGTCAAGGAGAGTATGTACCCTCCTGCGATGCAGAATTTAAAGTGCATCTTATTATATAGAAGGTTATTATTTGTGTATATATATATATATATTTGTATGATATTGCCAAAAGAAGCAGTGCCTACAGCACCTCGAAGATGGAGAGCCTGCCCTCGAGGTCGAGGATCTGCCATGGTTGATCCTGCAGGTATACACACGTGAATAGGGTCAAGGTTATTGTCGACTGCAGAATTTAATGCCGGAGTCCTTGTACAAGATCCTGCCATGGCGACGATCGATTATGGACCGATCGGCAACAAAAAGCTCTACGAAACATGTCATGCCTAGCGAGCATGAAAAATCGAGCAGGGCACGGCAAAGTAACATGGATTTGCATTTTAGGCACTCGAAAAAATTGGCATTGCGATTCGCGATCGGGATCCTATCCTGCTATTGCAGCCCCTACTCTGCATGGAGCTCGCTTCGAAGAGCACGGGCTTGCCCATAGGTGAGGCTACCGTCCTGGATCTTCTTGAGATACTCCTGCCCCAAGTCTTTGTAGTTTGCAAAGTTCCTCTGACGGATCTCCAACAACAACTCCCGTTTGTGCTTGCCGGATTTGCAGCGACAGCCCGTGATGTAGACCCTTGGGTTCGTCATGGTCGTAGTAATGCGAACCTGGTGGAGAGGATCGTCGTCTGCAGCTGGTACAACAGCAGGATCATCACCTGGAGCTGCGGGTGCAGCAGGAGCTGTAGGGACAGGATCACTTGCAGGATCATTCGGAAGTGCAGCCGCTTCGTGGGTCTTGGCCTTCGGTTTCGCCTTGGACTTAACCGCCGTCTGCTTCGCCTTCGCCTTGGCCTTGGCCTTGGCCTTCTTGGGCTTTTTCTTCGGTGCCAAACAAGAAGCTGGCTTCTTCATTGCCGCCGCACTGGCCAGAGCATTATGATGCTCAATCACCGTCTTTGGAACAGCACCCTCGGGCAGGTCAGTGGAAATCTCACTGCCATCAGCAAGGATCGTCCGGCTCTTGCAGGCATGCTGATCCGTGTACGTGAAAATGGGCTGCTTCAAGGGCTGATCTAGACGAGCTTTATGGCTGGCCTGCGAAGTTCCAGGATTGGAAGGCTTCGATGCCTCGCCAGAAGACAACTTCATCCTCTTGGCCTTGGACGATGGTCCGGCAGTGCTCGAGTGAGACTTAGCTTTCGAGACGGTCTTTGCATCTGCAGGAGAATGATCATCCTCCTCGACTGCAAAAGCCTCATCACCACTGCTCGAGATCACATCGATCGCCGTCGCATGCCCGATCGGCGCCCGGGGGACCGAAAGCCCATACCTAGCATAGATGTCCGACGAGGAGGATGTGCTCCTCCTAGGCCGCCGTTCTCCATCAGGCTCTGATTCTCGAGGCTCTACGGGCAGAGGCGGCTTGGGATCGGAGTTGCCCTTTGTCAATGTTTTCCTGCCCCTCCACAACTTCGGCTTGGGAGGTGCAATCCCCATCTTGGCTTGTTCCTCTCGGGCTTCTCTTCTGCTTAGGGCTTCAACAATGCGAAGTACAGCAGGATCCGTCCTTTTGCCGCTGGAGATGCTCTTCCTCTTCAAGCGAGCAAACTGCACAACATTCGCGATCTGGCGGCCAAAATGGTCGGCCTCAGCTTGCTCAAGTCCTTCAAAGGCCAAGCAAGCAGCTTTGGAGATCACAGTCTTGACCGGTCGCGAGGAGACGTTGAGGTAATCCAAGATGAAGGCCTCGTAAGCACAGGCTACCTTTGCAGGATGCGACTCTGTATACTGGCTGCCCAATTTCTTGTAGTTCGCATTCAACATCTTCTTCACTTGCTCCACAGTCGCTGTGTTAGCTGCACGGGTCATGATCGATGGGGATCCGGCCAGGAAGCATGAATCGCGAATCTCGATCGACGTCCCAAATCGAGGGATCGAGCCAAAATGATGATCAAGGATCGAGAGTCAAATGCACGTGCAGGCAGCCGATGCATGATCATGCCATGATCGCCATGCAGGAGAGATTGCATGGAACCCCTCCTATAGGTCGCGATCGCACGTCGACAGGAGAGCATTATATCGAACCCCTCCTGGATCGAAGCCGACCGCGAGTGTGTGTGTGTGTGTGTGTGTGTGTGTGTGTACGTGTGTACACGTGTGTGTGAGTGTGTGTGTGTGTGTGTGTGTGTGTGTGTGTGTGTGTGTGGGTGGGTGGGTGGGTGGGTGGGTGGGCGGGTGTGTGTGTGTGTGTGTATATATATATACATGTATACATATACATATACATAATTTGTATATACATATTATATATATATATATATATGCATGCCACGACATGCATGCAAACCATACAAGAAAAAGCACTTTAAATAAGGCATGTGAAAACACTGAATTTAAGGATTGTTAAAATAGGGTATGTAAACGCTAAACAAAGCGTATTGATTTAAGGGGGAAAGCCAAAATGGACTTTTGGGTTTACTGGGATTTTCGAGTGCCCACCCATCCCACCCTGGAGATTAGCTAGCCGAAGGCTAGAGTTCTTCTCCGGGCTAACGCGGGACTTCGCCACAACGCTAAAAAGAAAAGTTCGTGTTGTCCGTGCTACTGCGTGAAGCCAGTTAGCCAAAGCTAGGCTTGCTACGTACTCCCTGGAGGTGTAGAGGGAGGTGGCGGGAGGATACGCTAGCTAGTGTACTACGAGGGTCATTCATTTGATGGCCAGCAGTGATGAAGGTGATCGCTTTGTCTGCGGTCGCAAGCCGTCAACTAGCTACATCCAGACGGCTGTGCCTAATGTTTTATTTCCCCTTTGCAGGCAATGCTGTCCTGACCAGGACGGGCCTTGAGTTTCACGCGAGATCGGCGAGAGGTCATTGCAACTTGAGCGGTTGTGCTACCGGTGAATGCTTCCGGCTTGCATGGTATGTGAGGAGCTTCTGTCTTGATGCTGTGCGATTTGCAACCGTGCACCTGAGACGATCCATGCTCTTCTTAGGACCTGTAGCTGAGTGCTTGGGTCGTGCCATGGCGGCCTCGTACTCAGAGTCCGAAGCTGTCTTCAGCGACAAGGTCAGGACCTCGGGCCTGTCGGCTGCTGACCAGACTAATGTGTTGGCTGGACTGAAGAATCTGAAACAGCTGGCATTTGTCAGCTCCTTCACTCCGGGACAAGCCGATGAGAAGCCTTTGATTGCGGCTTTGGATGCTCTAGTCAAAAGGGACACCAGTGCTGACTTAGCTGCTCAGGCGTGCTTCAGAGCTCTTTTCCAGCAGGCTTACGCCATAGTCACCACCGAGTTTAGACAGGCCATTGAGCGCACTGAAGACGCTCCCAGTCGGTCTCTCAGCGCGCCTGAGCGTGAGGAGCGCTACACGCGACAGGTGAAGAAGTTAACCGGGATCAACATAAAAGACGAGACTGAACCAAGTCAGGCCTTGGTTGATCTCTGCGTGAATATTTATGAGTCGAACACTTTGCGCTACGTGGCCTGGGAGAAGTGCACTAGTCGGCTTGCCGAGGTTCAAGGCGATGCCAAAAAAGGACACTCGATTCACGCTCGATGCTCAGGGCAAGACCTTGAAGCTTGAGTCGAAGGCCCCAGATGACAAGTGTCAGGTCGACTCCGAGGTGCATCTTCTTCAGGCTTTACAGCGCAGAGCCCTTGCCCTGGACCAAGCCAATGTTGTTGATTATGCTGTCATCGATGTCTGGCATCAGAAGTTGCTTAGGGCGCGGATGCAGGAGGTGCCAGCAGGTCATGTCCGGCCCAGCTTCAAGCAGCTCTTGCGGGCCGATCAGAAGCTTTTCTCGGAGTTGCAGGACCGCTGTCGCGCAGGAATCCAGGCCACATCAGCCGGCCGCCCCTTGGATGGCCTGATTCCTTTGGTGATGGATCTGAGTGATGTGGCAGTCCTGTTGCAATCCCTGCCTGGAAATGCCTCCTCCTCTTCTGATGTGCCTCCGGGTCCGTGGGTCTCTCGCGAGAGGCCGAGCCCATACACTCGAGAGGGAAAAGGCCGAGGCAAAGCGGGTAAAGGACGGGCCAAGGGGAAGGGCGTGCTGCCTAAGCCCCTTGTGGGCTGCTATAGTTCGACAAATGCTGGCGAACCCATATGCTTCGATCACAACATCAATGGATGCAGCCGGGCTGTCAAAAGCGGCAGATGTGAGAAAGGAATACATATATGTGCCCGATATCGTCAGAGCGGCCATACTGCTGCTAACTTCCCCAAGAAGGAGTGACTATCGAGTGTGGTCGATGCGACTGCAGGTGGCTGGGAATGTCCCCAGCTTGACTCATTGGAGTCTCAATCCCTGAGTTCAGCTAATGAGCTGGACCATGCAATGCCTTGCCCTGTGGGGCCTGCTGCAACATTGGTTGCTGCTTGTGCTTCACTCAATGAGAGAATGCATGATGCCTGTTCGCCCGTGGGCGGTGAACCTTCTGTTGGAGCGCGTGATTGTGCCACCGCGGATCCTCCTAAAAGGAAGTCCGATGACAGCGACCGTGAGTCGCCGGGCAAGGCGCCTCGACTTGGAGGCCCTGAAGCCCTTGCCTCTGATTTGCACCGCAAACTCTTGTTCGATGCAGCTAGTGTGCTTTCTCTCTTCGACCTTCTGCCAAAGGCTGATATCACACGACTTTCTCAAGCCAAAGGCTCAGTCTTCGCGGTGGGGTCGTATTCTCACGGTCCTATCAAAGGTTTGCGGCATTTCACCCGAATTTATCCCAATGTTTGCCGATACTTGTGTGCTTGCGTCCTGCATGTCCTTCCGACGCACAAATTTTCAAGTCTGTTGATCTCTGACTCGGTTGAAAGTCAACCTCACGCTGATCCCAACAACGGCCCGACTTTGAATCTCTTGATACCTCTGACGCACTTTTCAGGTGGCTCACTGCGAGCCGGTGATTGCGACCTCGACTTCAGTCGGGGTGCCTGGGCTTTCAATGCTCGCGACGGCTGCCACGCCGTGGCGCCTTTTCAGGGTCGTCGGGTTATGCTCATAGCTTTCAGCACCAAGGGCGTTTGCGATTCCGATTCTGAGGTGTTGTCTCAGCTCCAGTCCTGTGGTTTCGCCCTTCCCAGCGCTGATGCTGTGATGCCCGCGTCTCCAGTGGGCCCTCTACCTGACATCAGGAGCTCTGTCACTCATGAGCCCCTGAAAGTGCTGAAGCCTTCCCGGCTTGTTGTCCTCGACCTCTTCTGCGGACGAGGTGCCGTGGGCCATGCCTGTGCCGAGATTGGGTTTAAAACTTTCTGTTATGGGTCCCAGTCTGCGGGCCCTGTCAAGCATAAGGTGTTGCAGCTCAGGCCCGAACGACAATCCACTTGGCAATATTTGCGGCGCCTTGTTATGGCTCACCGGGTCTATCATGTCCACATGTGTCTTGATCAGACCCTTAATTCTGCAGAACTTGATCATGTGACATCTTTTGTTTCTCACGTGCTACAGCTACAGATTGGTCTCACCGTTTGCGGCCAGCCGATAACTCGGCTTGGCAACGATCGCCGTTCAGTGACTCTTTGCCTTCGTGCGTTGGGCCTGGATGCTCACTCGGCCTCGGTTGCAAGATTGTTCGCGTGGCCTCCACTGTTCTGGCCTGTTCTGATTTGCGTGCTTGCTCTTGCTCTTGCCCTGACAAGGCCTTTGTTCTCGGCAAGGTGTATGCGGAGCACCTTGCCGAAAGTCTGCGCTTGCAGGCGGCTGGTGAGGACTTACTTGTTTCCCCCCAATCGGGGTTGCCAGATGCTAATCCTGCCGTGCACAAACAAGCTAAGCTCACAAAAATGCAGCCGATTATGCCCGAGTTCAAGTACATGGTCAACGTGCACGTCGCTGATTGCTCCCAGCTGCAGCTGGATGACAAAAAGTGCCTGCAAACCGCGTTGCAGTCCGTTCCCAAGGGTGCTAGGCTCCTTAGGCTCGGTTTTTGTTGGGGGTGGTTCTCTTAAGCCTAAGTCCCTCTCCCCTTTGCCGAGTACCCCTGCCACCGCCACGTTTGGCGTGTTTCGGACTCCTGACGAGTTCGTTGCTGCCAGCTTGCGCCTCGAGCATCCGTTCGACGCTTTTGCACACGTGCCTGATGGTCTCATCAGGAATTTGGGGCGGCTGCTTATCGACGGTCCCTTGCCCGTCGTGCGACGCCGGCTTGACCTACTTACCAAGTGGTCTGCGTGGGCCGATGAACTGGCCGAGCCTGAGAGAGCTCTTCATGCTTCGCTTGATCCCAGAGTTGGTGCGGTCCTTTCTGGCAAAAGGTTGCTGTTGCTGGATCGTATCGCCAAATCCCTTGCCTGGCCAGACGAAGATCTTTTTAAGGACCTTAAGGAAGGGTTCGGCATAGTGGGTTCCGCGCCTGTCACGGGGGTTTTCGCACCATCCTTTAAGCCTTCGGAGTTCACTGAGGAAGAGCTTGATCAAAGATCGAAATTCTTGCGACCGGCCCTGTGGGCCAAAATCTCATCTGCAAAATCTGAGGATTCCGATGCCGAGCTTTGGAGCTAAACTCTTGCTGAGAGGGATCAGAAGTCCTGGCTGAGCGGCCCATATAGCTACCAGGAGCTCACTGAGATTTTGGGTCCGCACTGGATACCTGTACGGAGGTTCGCGATTTTCCAACGAGGGAAGCTGAGGTGCATTGACGATTTGTCCGAGAACAGTGTCAACTCGTCCTGGGAAGTGGCAGAAAAGATTGACCTGCGTGCGATGGACGAACTCCTTTGGATAACATCGAGGCTCATGCAATCCATCGTTGATCGAGGATTTGTCAACCTTCGTCTTTCTTCTGGTGAAGTGATCAGCGGCCCGTTGCATACCGTGTGGCGCACGCGGCCTGAGTCCGCGCGCCCAGTCTTGAAGTGCGTGGATTTGAAGTCTGCTTACAAACAGTATGCTATAAGGCCATGTGACAGCAAGAGGTGTGTGGTCAGCCTCCGGCGGCCCTCCGACGGGCAAGCCGTCGGTTTCATTTCACATACCCTACCCTTCGGCTCGCTCGCGAGCGTAGGGCAGTTCAATCGCGTTGCCCGCTTGATTCACCGCATCCTTATTGAGCTGGAGTGCCTGGCCTGTAACTATTATGACGACTTCCCAGTTCTCGATGTGAGTATGCTTTCGGCCAACACCGAGAAGACGATCCGCAAGCTCATGCGCCTCCTGGGCGTGATCTGCTCAGAGGACAAGGAGTTGCCTTTTTCTTCGGTGGCCGATCTCTTGGGGGTTCGCTTGGACCTTAGGGCTAAGGATTTTTCTTGCGTCACTGTTGCCAACAAGCCTGACAGGGCTCGCGAAATTTCCGAGTCGGTCGCTAAAGTCCTATCGGACAGGTGGTGGTCAGAGAAGCCGACAGCTTGTTTGGAAGGATTCAGTATGCCGATTCCCAAATCATGGGCCGCAGGGGCAAACTGGCTTTGAGCACGCTTAGGAAGCTCTCGCGAGGCTCTGGCGTTCATCTACTTTCTTCTACTGACCGCGAGGCCTTTGCTGTCTTGCAGATGCGCATGGATGCTGGCGAGCCCAGGCGCATACAGGTTGGAAGCTCTGGACCTTCACTTGTTGTTTACACTGATGGCGCATGTGAGCCTGGTGCTGCTCGATCGCTCTGCGCCGTTGGGGGAGTACTTTATGCTTCTTGGAATGGGGCTGTAAAGGTCCGATACTTCGGGGTCACGCTGAGTGACTCCCTGGTCGACCTATGGGCCGAGAGCGGCAAGAAGCACCTTATAGGGCTTGTTGAGTTGTATGCTTTAGTGCTCGCGAGATTCGTCTGGGGTCGACTCCTCGACGATCGAAGGGTGCTTTACTTCATCGATCACGTGGGAGTGCTCTCCGCTACCATCAATTGCACATCTAGGGACGAGCTGTGGAGGACTTTGCTTATACATCTTGAAAAGGCCGATGCCAGGCCTTGCATTGGGTGGTATGCTCGTGTGCCTTCTCAGTCCAATCCCGCTGATCCCCCGTCGAGGGGCTGCTGGATTTTTCCGATGTGCGAACATGCGATCCGGGACCATCCTGCTTGTTTTGCCACGGGCGAATTACTGCGCTCGTCTTGACTTGGGGATATGGTCCTCGCTTCGTGACAATGGTCACTGCCCAATGGGGCGTTTTATGCGATGTTGCTTATGTCATGCAGGATGTGTTTCACGAATGCTCGAATCCCAGATCGCATGTGCGAAAATCCTGACGTTGTGCCTCCAATTTCATATGCTGTTTTATATTCGTCTTCCCAGATAAGTGTATTTGGGAATACAGCGATGGATATACGATTGCATTGATTATGATTCGATTGCGGAATCGAGTTCCGGGAATAAGCAGATTTAGAACGGAGCGGAGCGAAGCTCTTAATGTTTTATACCCGGACGATGCTTTTTGGCATTGGCCAAAAACTTGATTTCGCAATCCCGTTTTTCAATCACTTATTTTGAACCATTCTTTTGCAAGTTCCTTTGCATGATGTCTCTTATGCTCTTGGCATAACGAATATTATGACTTGCAATTCTTGATCAAGGGTGGGTGGGAGGGAGCGCCTCCTTGAATGGGCAAATTTTATACCCGCCCGCCCAACCCGGGGATATGGTCCTCGCTTCGTGACAATGGTCACTGCCCAATGGGGCGGTTTATGCGATGTTGCTTATGTCATGCAGGATGTGTTTCACGAATGCTCGAATCCCAGATCGCATGTGCGAAAATCCTGACGTTGTGCCTCCAATTTCATATGCTGTTTTATATTCGTCTTCCCAGATAAGTGTATTTGGGAATACAGCGATGGATATACGATTGCATTGATTATGATTCGATTGCGGAATCGAGTTCCGGGAATAAATCCCTAATACTATGGCACTCTGCCTTCTAACCCCAAACCCTGAATATACTAAAGACCCTGAAACTTTAACCCTAACCCTTTCATTACCCTCAGACCCGAACACTATGGCACTCTGCCTTCTAACCCCAAACCCTGAATATACTCAAGACCCTGAAACTCTAACCCTAACCCTTTCATTACCCTCAGACCCGAACACTATGGCACTCTGCCTTCTAACCCCAACCAGGTCTTCTTCATCTTCGTCTTCCTGGAACAATAATTCAAAATCTAAAAATGAAGTTGTGGCTTTTGTATTCGAAAGTTTTTAAACGTATTTATTTGTTTTTTAACTTTGTTTAAAATCATTTATTTGGTTCTTATTTTTTTTTAAAAAAATTTAAAAGTATTTACAAGTTTTTTGTCTTTTAAAGTTTTTCAAAGTATTTATTTTTGTTTTATTTGTATTTTAAAGTTTTTAAACGTTTTTTTGTATTTTAAAGTTGTTCAAATTATTCAAAAGTTTGTTTGTCTTTTTTTAAAGTTTTAAAAAGTATTTAAACGTTTCTTTGCATTTTAAAGTGTTTAAACGTCTTGAAAAGTTGTTGTTTGTATGTTAAAGTTTTTAAAAGTCTAAAAACGCCAACTCTGTCGAACAAGCCCTGTGGATCTAAGCCCTGTGGTTCTGGTTCGGTGCAAAAGGGCAATGCACTATGGACTGCGGACCAATAGGCTCTATCAGGGACTGATGCACCATGCGTGGATGCAAGGTGTTTTGTGCGAGAGCAGAACGGCCCACGTGGAGAAAAAAGGTGTTCTCTGCATTCTGCACTTGCTATATATGTATACATATATAGTCTAGAAGACTGTAAAAAGTTGTTTTGTGTTTTCTGTGTTCCAGATGCCACAAAACACCAAGGTGAACCAGAATTTCGTGTGGGCCTGATGGAACAGGACCTGGACAAAGGACCCCGCCCGCGATTCTCTCTCCGTACGGCAGTGGACATTAGATGCGATGTGGACCGGAGTGTATCCTTCAAAGGACTGGAGGGGCATCAAATACCGTGCAGGCAGCAGGGAACAGGAAAAAGCCGGAAAGACACTGGCCAACGGCTGGAAGGCCGTGGTTTGTGCATGGAGTGGGGACATGGATTTTTACAGGCTATTCCTTGGCCTGCCCAGTCATACTGCGAATTACCCCTGTGCACTGTGCAGGCTGGACTGACGAAAGCTTTGTGTGTGTGTGGACCGTATATGTATACTGTATTATACACCGCCCTGTGTGTAGGTGCAGCAGGACCGGACCTACGACCTGGCATGATTTTTCGGAGACTGCTCCTTCCAGGGATACACAGTGGGAGCCGGAATCCTGGACGCAATGGGGCAGCCGTACAATATGCAAGTTATTCAAGGGAGGGTTGACGGCCTGTCACGTGCACTACGATCTCATGCATACGAAGTACTTGGGCTACTGCCAGCATTTATTCGGATCAGTGATGGAATTGTTGTGTCGACACATCATGGACAAGGAACCATTGGATAACCTCAAGGATTTGTGGAAGTACATAAAACAGCATCAGAAGCGAAACAGATAGTGCCCGAATAGTGCCCGAATAGTGCCCGAAATAGTGCCCGAAATAGTGCCGGAATGAACCCTTCATAGTGCCCAAATACATTTCCTTTCGTAAAGGAAGGAAAATCTCCTTTTTCTTCGCGAAAAATCATTTGGGCACTATGAAGGGTTCATTCGGGCACTAGTTCGGGCACTATTTCGGGCACTATTCGGGCACTATTCGGGCACTATTTGAAGGCGTCTACTATTCATGCACCGCAGCCTTGCCAAGTCCCTCCCAACACTTCTCCAGGCCTGAAAACCTCCGTCCAGGGCTTCTCTACCCTGCCACACTTTCGACGAGCTTTACGAGCCCATTTTCGGGGCCCGGAAAACAACAAAAAACGTAGGACACATCAGAGTACCCCCACAGTTACAGTGGCAAACAACGGTGCTTAAGCAGCACAAGCCCAATCACCAGGGTAGCAACGGAGCGTTTTGATTGATTTCAACAGACGCGGTCGCTCGCGACACTGGTCGCCGCATGTCGGGCAAAACTTTGGTAAAGCTTCAAACACGTCTCCCTCGCAGAATTCCGCAGTTTTTGAGCTCGGGTTGGTCCCCATTTTGAGGCCAAAAATTGGTTCCCAAAGCTGAGACCGCCTGATTGGAAACTATTAGGGGAGACCCCATTTTGGGCTTCGTTTTTGGAGCTCGAAAATGGGCTCTAGAATGGATCGAAAACCTTTGGACAAAGACGCTCCCAATTGGATTGGAACTTTGCTCGAAAAACAACCTTGTAGCTATGCGCGGGGTCTGTGCGTGGTCAGCTTGAGACTGTTGACCATGATGTCATGACAACTACTTGTCATAAATACCACAGCATGGCAAGCAAGGCGGCAACTGACTATGGGGGTACCTTAATGCGTCCTACAGTTTTCGTGGTTTTTCGAACACTGAAAATGGCCTCGCGCGATAGTACAATTTTGGAATTGTTTGTCCACAAATCTTGAAACCTTCCAGATCCCCCGCTCCCCCCAAATTCAATGTTTACATAGAAGCGCCCAATGAGCATTGCGGCACACATTGCGGCACACATTGAAATTGAGGGGGCGGGGGGGAGGTTTCTGAATATGCAAACAAGAAGACTGTCAATGACTGACTGCTGCTGCACTCGATAAAAACCATAACTCCTTCATAAAGTCTCGTTATAGATCCTCCCCGAAGTCCTGCCTGATCTTTCCCTAAACCCTCGCATGGCCAAGGCCCCCGTAAACTTGTAGATAGACTACCCTACAATTTTTTGCACATGCCACCCATGTTTTTCGTGCTTGCGGACCCTTCCCCAAATCCTGCCTGCTCTAAACTCTGCAGATTCTTCCCCAAACCCCCCCTGCCCCGCAGATGCCTCCTGCAGCACAAATTCCTATTCTTCGTGCGCATTTCCAGGGTTGGTGGTCCTGGTCTTCCAACCCTTAGCCTTCCAGATAATGCCGCCCAAGCCTCCACCTGGCATAGTGCCCGAATAGTGCCCGAAATAGTGCCCGATTTTGCAAGAAAAGAAAATCTCTTTTTTCTTCGCGAAAAAACATTTGAGCAAAGGAGGGTTTATTCGGGCACCAGTTCGGGCACCATTTCGGGCGCTATTCGGGCACTATTTGAAGGCGTCTACCCACTCTGCACTGCAGCCTTGCCAAGTTCCTCCCAACACTTCTCCAGGCACTGAAAACCTCCGTCCAGGGCTTCTCTACCCTGCCACACTTTCGATAAGCTTTACAAGCCCATTTTCAGGCCCGGAAAACAACAAAACGCAGGACACATCAGAGCATCCCACAGTTAGCTGGTTCCTCCACGCAAAGTTGTCGAACTGGGGTGCAGGCTCAGTTGTATCGTGTGACACAAAGCATCCGCTTTCTTTTGTGCATCCGGCAAATCACGAAACCAAGAACAGTCAAAATAAAGCGAGTTTCTGGCAAAGCTAAGTGCGATGCTTTTCGCGGCTGGTGTGCTCACCAGGCTCGAATGTGGTTTGCAGTGACTTCCGGGCGAGGATGAATGATACTCGAAGACAGGACAATGGAAAGCTGACCAGACATAGTGAATTTGCATGTGAAATTCCGAAACATGTCACCTAATGTAATGCAACTATTTCCAGATTTTTATCCTTTCCAGTTTTTGAAATATTAATTAATTTGGAGTGTTTGGATTGGGAATTTGAAAGATTGATATTTGCAGGCATGTGCAGTGACGTCTCTCTCTCTGTCTCTCGCTTCCTGCGCTTTCAAGTGTGCGAGGGCCGAGCGGCAGCTTGACAGTTTGCCATGTCTGTGCTGTGCCTGTGCAGAGCTGCGTTGCGGTGTTTGGTTGATTTCAAGCCAAGCATGTGAGTTGTGAGAAACCGGAACAGCATGAACACAACTAAGCAAATCAGTGTGCCCATACATTATTTACAGCTTGGAAACTCTCAGCATGCCTGTCCGCAGCTTGAAAGAAAGCCTTGGCCCTTTCACAGGGCCACTCAGAACACAGCACAGCCGACACATCTTGGCAGTTCATGTCAGCTCAAGGTTAACCACAGAATCAAGGCACTTACGGGACAAAGCCAGGCCACTGCCACAACCTACTTCTCACCCATTGTGGCGTTCTGCTGCGGCTCGCCACTCATGGCAAAGAGCAGAGGTGGGAAATGTCCAGAAAGGTGGGCGGTACAAGACAGAATGGAATGACTGCTCTGTACATTGCCTGGATGCAGCAGAGCAAAGAGCCTTGCGACAGGATCCTAGTGCAGCCCACTTTCAGAATGACCAAATTTTGGGTGTGATGCGTGTGGCGGCGGCCTAACACAGTGCTCTATCAGTGCCAGCGAAAACAGTACAACTTCTGGCAGTCTGTTTTCGGCACCGAATGCTTGCATGAGAGCTTGTATTTTTTCAATGTCGTAGACATCTGTGCATTTCAGAAGCCGGTCGAGCAGTACCTGTGACAGACCATCGCAAGTTTGCTTCTTTGGCCAGGTTGATTTGCACTTCTTCCAAGATCTGGAAGGATCCGAGTTGCCAGAATGGGTGGATTCGAATTGTCATTTGGTTGTGCGGTTGCCAGCTGCCCATGCTTTTCTTGTCTCCCGGAACCTATGGAACTCGTTCAGCTTGCCAGATCCCACCTTTTCTCGGCAGGAGTGAGGCTGCGGTCACACATTGAAAACGTGGCAGGGCCTTTCACGGTTGCCCCTCAGGTTCAGGATTTTCAAAGAGCCTCAGTTGTCTGCAGAGCTGGCTGGGCAAATCGCTCAGACGGTGCGTGTGTTGGCAGCTCGCTTGAACCCGGAGTCGAATGCAGAGGATGCTGCTCTGTATGAGGCTTGTTATCAAGGAGCCCACACACTTCAGCGTGTCAGAGACGAATTGGAGTTGTCCAGTTTCAACAAGAAGGTAGTTCAAAGCGCGGGCCGTGTTTGTACCGCTCGTCTTCCGTTTCAAGCCAGCTACATGTTGCAGTGTATTCTCATGACAAGCCACTTACGGGACTCCAGTGACCTGAAGGATGTTCTTCTCAGGGCAATTGACATTGTCATGCCAAAGAGCTTTGCTGAGGCGGTGCATTCAGCATTGGAAGGCCCCAATTTCGGCTTTGGGTTGCGAGTACCAACTGCTGGGACGATTTCTCGAGCAAGGTTGAGCGTTGATGTAGCCCTCATGCTGCGTGCACGGAGGCTCAATCGTGAGGCTCACGCGGGTGCGGGGGTCGTGAGATATGTGATGATCGATTCGTCCGTTCAAGGGCATTTCGATTTCGAGCTCATCCGTGTGACGTCAGTACGAAAGGAAGCTTGCGGAGACTTGTTCCTATCTGTTTTGCGAGCCAACGAGATGTGGGCGGAGTTTTTGCAAGACATGGATGAGGAGGTTTTAGCTGAAACTGCACAAGAAGAAGTTTCGCTTTTCGCTGAGATGTGGGCTAGCATTGACGTTCGCTTGCCGCCTGCAGTCGTCCTAGGCAGTGCTCACACCACATTGTATCACAAGTTCCATGCCGCTTTGCATTGCTTCTTTTTAGAAACAGGCACCGCGTTGGATCTCCGCGACTTTTGTGACTCCATCTTCGCTTTTTGTACTGATCAGGGTACAGAGTTCAAGCTCTCATCAGTGCCCCCAGTCCTGATCAGGCGTGCTTTGCCTTGGGTTGCCCAAGTCGGGAATGAGGGCGATGAGCATGACTTCGCACCCCCCCTTGAGCATGAGGAGGATGCAGGGGCCACTGTTGACTTCAGCAAGTGTGTGGGTATAGCGGGTTTGTTGCACATCGTTCACAACTCTACAATGGATTTGGGCAAGTCGATGCTTACTTTTGACGAGACCGTGAAACAGTTGACGCATGTCTCAAAACTGTTGTGCAGAAAAGAAACACGCCAGCGGTTGCTTGAGTCTTGTTTTTCTGACCGGATCGGGCAGTTTCTTCAGGGAGACATCAAAGGCTTCACGGCGAAGCTCAATCCTTCTCGGTGGGGGAGTTTGGCCCACTGCGTCATTGAGCTTTTGAAAATTGAAAACACCTTGCGTTTTGGTTGGAACTTGGAAAAGTACGGTCCAGGCCGTGCTGCAGATGACAACAACCAACACGGCGTAGACTTGAATATCATCGATGCAGCTTTGTCTTCTGCGGATTTCTGGGGTATTCTCCGAATGCTATCAAGCCTTGCGACTGTCATCAGTTCTTGCCTGCAGTGGGTTGAGTCGTGTCCATGCCACGGCCAGTTGCCAGAGAAAGAGTTCCCCCAAAAAATCAGAGACACATGGGCGACATGTCCGTTGAGGGGCTGTCGGGCGCCGGAGTTGGCCACGGGCGAGTTCCAATCTCTCATGCAGAGATTGAGTGGAACCAGTGCGTCTGAGCTCTTAACGACATTGCCTAGAGACATATCCCAGGAATCTCGTGCTGCCATTTTGCAGGATTTCCAGCGTGGACGTTCGCACTTGCTGTTTGTGGTCAACCTTAGGCTAGCCCACTGGAAAGAGGCACCGTATGTCATCTTTGGTTGCGCACATTTGGACAAAGAAATCTCGAAACAGTTTCTTCGCAGATGTGTTGCAATGCCAGCTAGCACTCCGCTCTTGGTCACATTGCAGCAGCAGCCAATCAGGGACCAGGTAGAGCAATATGTGAATGGGGATGAAGAACTTGATGATTTGCATGAGCTGGCGCAATTCCTGGGCATGCTTCGCTTTTGTCCCGTAGCAGAACGGGCTGTGGAAGGGGATCATGCACAGGCTCGGGTTCTGGAAATCCGCTTTATGCCTTAAGCCGTGAAGCCGCCAGCAGCGCATCAAGTTAGTCAGGTGAGTCAGGTGAGTCTCGTTACGTTGCCCCTGTTTGTCGGCCTATCTGTCTCTTTGTTCTGCCATCTTTCTCTCGCTCTCTGTCTCTTTGTTTCAAGGCCTCTCTTTCAGTCGCTCTCCGTCTCTCTCGTTCTCTCTGTATGACTCTCTCTGTTTCTTTCTGTCTCGCTCTGCCTCTCTCCGTCCTCGCTCGCTCCTCCGAGGCTCCTCCTTCCGCTCTCGCAGTCTCAATCTCAGTCTCAGTCGCGGTCTGATTCACATTCACGTTCAGCTTCATGTGCTTGCTTGGCTTGTGTAGAAGACAGAGAGGGAGATAGGGATGGAGACAGACAGAGAGAGTGAGAGAGAGGGAGAGAGAGAGACCGCGAGACAGAGAGAGAGAGAGAGAGACACAGGAAGTGAGGGATGGAGGGAGGGAGTAGGGAGACCACGGAGGGAGGGGGGTAGAAAACAGGGGGGGCTTGGCAAAGCAAGGAATGGAGGTAGCAAGGGCAGAGAGAGAGAGAAAGAGAGAGGCAAGTGAGTGAGAGATCACCGTGCTGGCCACATAGAATCCTTGTTCTTAGCTTCTGTTTGCCTTGCAGATCCACAAGAAAGTTGCCCTCGCTCGAAATCACACACCAGCTTATGTCAGTCTGGCTCGCCGCATGAACGGGCTTCGAAGCGAGACCGTGGCAGATGCAGGCATTGTGAAGGAGTTGGCATCTTTCTATGAGCAGGTGCACAGCCCTAAGAAGGCGTTGGTTTCACTTGGTCTGCAGCATCACCCGTCAGCTTTGCGCATCAGCAACTACAGGGACCCGCTTCACAGCAAGATAATTTACCATGCAGATGGGGCTACCATGTACCAGCGAGAGCAACCATGGTCGGATCTAGGTCCCCCGCAGCCTCCTGACAGTGACAGGCAACAGCCACCAGGTTCCGAGGACCCCGATGCAAATCGTGATGACCAGCCGGGCCCTGCAGATCAGCCTGAGGGTGCAGTTCCCAGACATGTTCCTGATGCAGATGCACCGGCTTCGGTTGGTAGTGCAGCTGGGGCGACTGCATCCACAGAGCCACCGCAACAGCTTCTCCGCAGGGCCAGGGGGAAGCAGGTTGATGTTCTTGCAGCACAGTCGCGACATGAAGCAGTGGTTGCCTTGAAGCTAGAGAAACCTGGTGAAGCACAGGCAGCTATGTCAGATGTGGTCCTGCAGCGGTATGCTTTGCAGTCTATGTCGGCACTCATAGAAGACGACGGTTCTGTATCTGACAAAATTTACTCCATGCCTTTCAGCGACCAGGCGCTTCGATCTTTGCGTTGGGCGGCGTCTCGGCACTCCGCCGATGGCCCTGTTCCGGTCTTGGATTGTGACTCATTCAGCTTGCGAGGCCATGTTTGCATGCAGATCATCCGCAAAGCTGTTGGGAGTGTTGTGTTGCCTACAGCCACGGGCTTTCGGAAATCAGATTGGGCAGTGTCGTTCTTGAGGGTCGTTTCGGTGAAGCGGCTGGGCGCTGGCGAATTTGGTGTTGTTGTCAACTCCAGTCCTGTGAGCTTGCGGAACTTGGATTCAGATTTTGCAGGGTCTGCTACGCCGGTGGTGCTTTGCTTGGAAGCTTTGCCTCTGGATTCGTTGTTGGGCATGCGAAAGTGGGAAAGCACAAGCAGTCTTTCATATCGTTTCATCGTGCCAGCAGATGATGTTGACAACTCTGCATTTTCAGGTGCTGTGTGTCAGTCATTGCTGCATGATTTGTTGGGTGCCGGTGCTTATATCCCGGCAAGCAACGACCCGCTGCATACTGAGAAGTGTGAGCTTTTGGCCAAGCTTGAAGTTCGGGGCTGGGCTGAGCGTGACAAGGATGGTGGTTGGGTAGTGACATTCAAGGGTCACCGGTACATTGAAGTTGAGAATCTGCTGACAAGTTTGGGCAAGGTTTTCCAGGCTCGCGACGTGCCGCTTGAGGACATGGAAATGGTAGAGCTTGTGCTGATTCTTCGCGACAGGGGCTGGCAGCATAAAGGGTTGGAATCAAAGCGGGCTTTGGAAAAAGGTGCAGCTTACAAGGGTGCCGAAGATGAGAAGATTTGGTACTACCTCGTGAACAACCCTTCGGTCTGCAAGGACTACCTCTTGTGCTTGCTCAATGCTGAGCAACATGGTCAGCCTGTGCCGCATCTTCAACATGCAGGGGCATATGCTGCAATCTTGGGGAAGCCAGTTGCTAGCAAACCACGTCGGAAGAAGGGCGCTGGCCTCGTCTTCCTGAATGACGAGGATGTTTGGGTGGACGAGTCAGCTCTCCTACCTTTGCCTGCCCCACGCAAAAGAACCCGGCGGCGTGCAATGGGTTCGGATGCTGTCCCTGCCCTCGAGGATGCCGCTGACTACGATGATGATGCTGAGATCGCAGACGATGACCAGATGGGCGACCAGGCCGAAGATGATGCTGAGATGGCCGGAGAAGGAGGTGATCATCATGATCCACAACAAGACGGAGCTGGAGAAGCAGGAGCAGAAGATGCTTCATCGTCCGGTTCTTCAAGCAGCTCTTCAAGTTCCTCATCTACATCCGGGTCAGGGTCTTCATCATCATCCTCGGACAGTGATTGAGTACGTGGAGGATGAAGCGGGAACCAGGCGTGTTGTGGCCATGCCAAAGGGTGTCAAGCGAAGGCGCGATGTTGCGACATCCTACGGCCTTTGCCGAATCACGCCCACGAAGACCGGCTTCCAAATGACGTGTAAACACCCGGGGCACGAGACAGCAAGTGGCACTGCATGCACTAAGACGAGGAGCTCGAACATTGACGGGCCCGACGTGGCTCTCAGACTTTTGAAGTTCTGGGCACAGAAAGGCCGCCGTGTGTCTTCCAAGAAGATACATCAGGAGAAATGTTGGAAAGAGGTCATGAAGGCTTTGAAGGACGGCTCGCTGCCATCCATGGAAGAGCTGGATCGAGCACCTGTCCGGTCCTATCCCGGACATTGAGGCCTTGTCAGAGCTGAAGTAGAACAGTTCAGAAAAGTATTGCATCCTATAGAGCAACTAGAGCGTTTGTTTGATATGTTGCTTTTGTGTTGCACTTGGATGCTTCTCAGCTCAACAAGAAGTAGTTGTCAGCTGCGGTCAAGTTCTGCAGATGCTCCAAACGTGTCTGTGTTGCCCCAGTGCACCTCGATATTTGGACGTGTACTGTAGTGCTACTGAACCGTTCTCTGTGATCATGTCTCTATTGCAAATAATCAATCATCATAGTCATGTTCTTTTGACTTTGCATCAGCAGACTCAAGGTGCTTGGGCCGCATTCCGCAGAAGTTTCACAAGCCAGCGGATTGCCCGCTGCGGAGCACACGTTGTCAGTTTCGTGTGAAAATCAGCCAAATCCGGAAATTCTGCTGAAATCTGTCTGCGTGGGAGGTTTTGCGCTCGTTTCACGCTGAGGGGCCCGTGAAAGCCCCTGGGGGCTGCAGATCCGCCGCTGGGGGGCCCTGGGGGGCCACTGGGGGGCCCGGGGAGGGTTGCTCGAAACGCTCGAAATTGCTCGAAACTCCCAGGGTCGCTGCTCGAAATTTGGCTGGGTTGCTCGAAATTGGGCCGTGTTGCTCGAAACTCTGGCTGGTTGCTCGAAACTCCCGCCTTTACTTTACCTTTAGACCTGCTCGAAACTCTGGCCTGTTGCTCGAAACTCTGGGCTGTTGCTCGAAACTTTGGGCTGTTGCTCGAAACTCTGGGCTGTTGCTCGAAACGCTCGAAATTGCTCGAAATTCGACGCTGCCTGTGGCCCTTGAAATGGCTGGGGCCAGGCACTTCAGGCTCTCTAGGCCCACGGCTGCGATTTCCAGCGTTTCTGGGCGGAATCTGGGATATTTAGCGAAATCCGCAGAAATCAGCACGAAAAGAGAAAACACAGTATTTCAGATTCGGTTGCGCTGAACATTGCGTTGTTCCAATAAACATATCTAGCGGGCCCGGGGGATGGAAAGTCCAGGTCTATTGTCACCTCAACTTGTTGTTCCTGCAAATAGGTCAGTGTGCAACAATGAATATTGAAAGTTGTCCCCCTTCAATCAAATCAGTCAAGTCGATCATTCTGATTCGGATGTGGCAGGTGCGGCTGACATTGCTGACTCACATATGCTGTTCTTTGGGGACACGTTTCCATGCAATTGCATGCAGTCAACAGTCTGAAGCCGGTGAATCTGTGAAGCGAAGCCAGTGACATCAGCACGTTCTCGCTCTACTACTACTCTATGCTACTGCGAATTGCCCTTGTGTTATACGCATTGTCCTGCTGGGTCGGGACCCGGGGTCTGACTGTTACTTGTAACAACGTCTACACTCTAGAACGCATGTAAGAGTTGATCAAGACTAGAATGTAACAACTTGTGCAAAGAAGTTCTGTGTGAATGTTGCAGTTGCAGTCATGACATGTGCCAGTTTTGGTTGACTCCCAAGAGGGCCGGGGCACTGCTGAGGGTGGACCATTTAGATCGCATCTCTTTGTGGGCATTGCAGCATAGTTTCAAGCGCAAGTCAACGTTGCTGAGGCAACCGTGCAGCAAAGTGGAACAAACTTAAAGTTATGTAGCCAAAGACTCGATTCTGTCGTTGTAAACCCTTAGCTTAACTCACATCTCACAACTTACAACACATGTTGTCCTCACGTCCTCAGGCTTCCTCAGGTCCTGAAGTCCTTAAGTTCTAGAGTTTCAGGAGCAACACCAGCAACACCACCAACTGCCACCAACACCACCACCAGCAACACCAAGACCACCAAGCCCTGAACCCTGAACCCTGAAACCCCTAAGTAAGCCTGAAGCTCAAAAGCCCTGAAGCCTGACGTCCTCGAGCTGGAGACTTAAGCGCCGGCGCCTTGCAGCTAGCCCAAAGCCCAAGCAAAGAGTCAGACCCCGCCAGACAATTCAATGAGCGATGCTGCTGCATCTTTTGCTGTGAAGGGGTAAGATGTAGCATGACAACAAGCAGTGAAAGCAGTAGTTCAACACATTGCAACCTCTGTCGGCGTCCAAGGGCACAGCACTGGCATGCTGGCGGACTTTTGGTCAAACGTAGTCTCATATTACTTATATGATGACTTATATGTCCAGGTCTTTATACCCGGTCCCTGCCGAGAACTAGCTGCACAACTGGTGATAGCTAATTTGCCGTAGCTATTGCACAGGTGTATGGTGTGTGTTGTACAAGGTCCTCCGTCCTGAAAAGAACTGCTTCGATTTAGAAGTACTGTGCTCGGGCCAAAACCGAAGACGAGTGGAACAGTGTAGCATCGTGGGTGTAATGCAAATAGTTCTTGGGCCAGGCTCTGTAGGTTTTTGTGCGTTCTGTAGGGCATGGCCGAAGTGCGTGGAGCCTTGAAAGCGGGCCCGTTGTCACTGGATGAGTTCTGCAGCTGGCCAGTCACGGTTATTAGAAGCCTGATTGGTGCAGGTGACGGCGATGATGGAGAGCGGCTCCATAGATTGCGATTTCTGCTTCAGCGAGGCCTTTGGATTGACTCCGACTATTCTGGAGTTGCGGGGGAGTACGAGGTGATGCACCAGATGCTTCAAGCACTGAAGCATGTTGCCCTAGAAGCTGCCGGACTAGGAGGCGAATCTGCTGTGTCATGTTTCAACAATGTGAAGGTAGTACACGGGCGGTTTTGCGACAAAGGCAAGCAGCAGCAAGACATCCTCAAATACATCAGCAGCTTGCACAACAACTCCGTGTGCCTTTTTGGTGACCTCAACGACCGCTTGCCAACTGCAGCTAGGCAGCTGTTGGATTCCATGATCCCGGAAACGAAGGTGACGCCCGCAGAAGCAAAGGAAGCTTATTCGAACATGTCTCAGTGGTTGCTGGAGAACCGTGCCTGGGTTTTTGCCCCGGCAGGCACCAGCCCATGCTTGATTCATGGCACAGACTGCCCTTTGGTGAAATCAGTAGAGCCAGCTTCAACATCCCCGGCAACCCCTCCACCGAAGCGGCGAAGGTTGTCGTTTTCAGAGTCTGATACCTCGAAGATGGATGTTGCTGTCGCATCTGGTGAAGAGGAGTCTGTGCCACTGGCGCCGGCATCTAGTTTCTTGCGGGTGAACTTAGCAGGCACGACATGTACAGGCTGGAGTTCTGCGGGCAAGGGTTTGCATTTTGCAGATCCTTCTGAACGGCCTCATGCGATATGGCTTGCTGAGCGTGTAGCCCGTGCTGAACAAGGGGTGGAAGACATGGTGATCAGCGAGTGCACCCCTCGCTACCCGGTGAAGGCGCACTGTTCTGCCGAAGTGTGCCTGTGTTTCTTACATATAGATTAGCTAGCTAACGTTTGGTAGATTTCATGTTCCGGTTGGAGCAGCAACAAGGCAGAAGTCTAGGAAGGTCAGAGTCAGGGCCAGTGCAAAGCTCTCAATCATTGAAGTAATGCCTCCCGAAGTTGGGATTAGTTTTCGAAAAGGTAGCAGACTTCAGGCTTAGACTATTTATCAAAAGTCATCAAGTCGCTCAGAAGCAGTGTGGATCGTGTTGTTGTCGTAGACACGGTTAGTTTCAATGAACCGAAGCCTTGTGATCGCCTTGTGAAGCTCCCAGTGCATGGGTCTGGCACCCTGTAGTGTAGTGAACACCCGACAACCGCTCAACAGTCTTGTAGTGCCAGCTCGTGCTTTCGCAGGAGAAGCTTGCTTGGAAAAGACCCACGAGATCATTTTCCTGCACATTTCCCCAATGCAGCTTGGGTGGCCTGTCAGGCGGTCCCGTGTCTTTACATGCAGCTTGAATCGAGAGAGCATGGCCTGGGTTGGGCCTGATCAATCTGCTGTTGCTGATCATTTTCTGCAGTTGTTTGGCAGAGAGATACAAGCAACTGCTGATGTTTTCCTTGCCGCGACTGATGCAGAAGTCTTTGATTTCTTGCGTGAGCGGGCAAGCAAGCGAGGCGTGCAGTTGCCAGAAGACATGTCTTGGCAGGACGTGTCCATGCAACACGTCTACGCTCCAGGACAGCTTGTGAGATTGGAGAATTACGAGAAGGCCAGGCAAGAAGTTTTGTCTGAGAAGCATTCAGATGGTGCAGATGATGCTGCCGTCGCTGGTGATTCAGGTCCTTCACTTGATTGCGGTGCATGGTATGCAGATCTAGAACAAAACCCAGGTCACGGCGCAAGTACCCCAGGACCCATTTTGCCGAGTGCCTTGACGCATGGAGCCCTGCACAGTTGGTCGGCAAACCGACCAACGCTGCCGATGGAGCAGTGTGTTGCGCACGGCTGGAGTGTCGGTATGTGTGCTTGCTCACGAGTGTTTGGTAATGTTTTGCATGCTTGCTGCATTTCATGACACTTCATGTACATTGCAGCAAGCAGGCTCGCAGCTGCCAGCTCGCCTGCATCGCAGGCTTAAAAAATTGTAGGCTTAACAGGCCTTGCTTGTAAGCCCTCTAGACCAGGTCTGGAGGCCTCCAATCTGTGTGGAGTTTAGCTTCACTTCATTCCTCTCCCGCTCGCGATAGGGGGAGGAGTGCATGGTTTCAGACACGCTGGCCTTTGCAGTTTTCTTTTGCATTTGGCATTTGACTTGCATTATGGATCAGTCAGTGCCTGTGTGTGCTTCGTCAGTGCCTGAGAATGGAGATTTTTCTGTATTTGGAGCTGAAAGTGCTACCTCTGACCCAGCACGTTGCATTGTCAAGCGGTTCCAGAAACGGACCTCCTCTCATCAGGAGGCTTCCATATCGTCGGGGGCCTCGCCCTCTTCAGCAATTCTTGAATCTGTTGTTGCATCGTTACAGGGCGGTGAGGAAGCGAGCGTTTTGCCTCCTGCATTGGCCCTACCGGAGAATGAGGAACCGGTTTTGATTGCTGATTCGTCTGCAGTTTCTCGACCTGTCCAGGGCTGCTATCACGAGGCTCCTGGGGAAGTGGACGAGATCGAAGGCGGGCATCGGCCTCCTTCGCCTGTTTATGATCCAGATTATGAGTTGGTTGATCCATTGGACGTTTCCCTGGAGCTTTCTGCATTAGCGGAACATTCTAGTTCTACTTCCTGGAGGATGGTATCGCCGGTGCCTGAGGAATCACATGCAGCCTCTCCGCCAGGATCCTTGCATTTTTCCCCGCTTCGTGTGGGTCGCCTTTCCTTTGAGGATGCTGTCAGGGAGGTCACCCAACCTTTGCTGCCGGCCTTTTCTCAGCCGACAATTTTGCATCGTCCAGCCGAGCTGGAGACTCAACACAAGGCGACTCCGTTGGCTCGTCCAGTTCATGTCAAAGAGGGCAGTAATCGAGCTACAAGCTTGCATTCGATTGCCACAAGATCTAATGAGCATGCCAGATCCAGGCCTTCGTTTCCACTTAGGGCATCGGTTGGGGTTCCCAGGGCGGCGCCCAGACCTCGGCCGGTCCCTTCGGCTCGCGGTGCATATGCATCATATCCTTCGGAGCAGTTGCATTCTTCTGCTCAGTTCCATGTAAAGCCCGGCTCACCGGGAAACTAAAGCCTTGCGTAAGGGGCCTGGAACCTGTTAGACGAAGGAACAGCCTTTAGAGGGCCCCAGACAAAATTTTTTCTCACGCCTGCAAGCAAAACTGCGAATGCCACTGACATGCAAGGCAAAGCAAACGTGAGAAAACACCATGTCATGCAAATAACTCCCGCAAGACATGACTGGAAAAAGTGCGCCCGAAAAATTGTAAACAATTTTTCCAACATGAAAACAATCAAATAAGAAAACATCCCCCTTCGGGAGAGTTTGTTCATGTGCCATGCAATAGATTGATAGGTGGTCCCCAATAGCCCATAATCTGAGGTAATGCCCACATGTGCAAGCCGTCCCAGTGGCCTACTTACGATGCTTGTGCTGGTAGTGTCGCTCTGCACAGTCTGAGCTGTCCTTGCATGGTACTTCCACATCACGAGGGCAAAAGCTGGTAACTAGTTTGTCGCTTTCTGTGCTGTGTGCTGGTGTTCGGAAGTGATTGTTCGACCTTTGCGGTCTGCCTGTAGCATGGGCCTCGCTCTCAGGTCAGAACTGAAGTTTGTCGGTGAGCGTTGAATGGTTGAACTGAATGTATAGTCTGCCTGCCAGGGTCGCTGAGGTCAGTGGCCATGCTTAGGTCAGGAATCAGGAAGCCTATCGTCAGACTGCAAGTGCAACTGTGTTGAGGTTGAAGCAGTATTCATGTCAGTGCCCCGTCACGCCTTGTCCTCCGCTCACGGCCACTTCCGAGCCAATGGAACAACACAGTTTGGGACCGGACAGAAGACACAGTTGCAGCCTCCACTAGAGTTTTGGCGCATCGGAACCCAGAGCACTGAGTATCGACATATGTTAGGAATTGCCTCGCTTGCATATACCGCGCAACAGAAGTCTAGTGATCTAGTTGCAAGTGGTGCCGTGCCGTGTCACTCTTCTCTGTTGCTTGATCGGGGAAGCCCGGTCTCAAGCGCCTCGCGTCATCATGGAGGATGACTTCGGCGACTTCAAGGATTGCCCGGACATCGTAAAGCAGCTGGAACTGGCCAAGACAAAGCAGGGTGAGGCCGGTGATGGGGCGGCGCCAAGGGCCGGTAGATCCAAGGCCAAAGCGAAGGCCAAGGCTGCGATGCTGAAAGTTTGCTTCATCACAACGTGCGAGTCCCAGTGCTTGAAGGGCAAGAGATGGTGCAAACCGCATAACCAGACTTATGACAACATGCATTACCAAGCCAGAAAAGCCGGTGAGGTCGAGGCTTTGGATGAAGCAATGGGCAACAGCGCAACGGCAACTGCAGCCATGGAGGAGTTCGAGGAGATGAACCCCTCGGATGGAAAATGGAAGCGCAAACAGCTGATCAATTGGTCACAGTTCAAGCGGCTTTACTGTGTATCCCAGATCAGGAGAAGCCGCCAAGGAACTCGCCCGTTTGAACACGGTGAGTGGATGATCCGGGGCCAGTCAACCATGGGGTGGAGCAAGTCGGCCACTCAGAGTGAGTGGGAAAAGCATTTCAAGGATCCCAGCATTCACCGAGACAAGCTCGGCATCGACAAGAGCGACCGCCTCTGGATCCCGGTCATAGAGGAGCGCCACCGGGACACCGATCACATCAAGTCCTCCATGCTCGAGGAGGGCGGGGCTCAAGAGAAGCAGCTGAGTGCTGATGACCGTCGTGTGCTCTTGGCTCAGTGCAAAACCAACCTGCGAGATCGTGACCCTGACAGCTTCTTTACTCACGATGCCGAGGACACTGAGGAAACGCCGCCTCCAAAAGGAACCAAGCGTGGATTGGAGGAGGCTGATGAGGCTCAGACTCCAGCCGAGAAGAAGTTGAAAGCCAAGCTTGACAAGCTTTCCTCCTCAGGCCCAGCATTCACTGCCTTCAAGAACGCAGCCGCCACCAAGGTTGAAGACAAGCTTGCAGCCCACGTGAGAACAGCACAGATTGTGAGGGCCAAGATGAACGAGGCCCGTACGGCCACGGAGGAGTACAAGAATGCGCTCACTGAGAAGGATGCGGTTGTGGATTCATGGCAGGGTTGTGTTGCAGCCTGTGCAGAGATTCTGGCAACTTCGGATTATGATATCCCCAATCCGGCAGGTGACAATGCACAGGAGACGTTCGAGAAGTACCAGGTCAAGCTTGAGGACACGCTCAAGAGGCTACCGGATGTGAAGCTCGTGACGGGCGACAGCAAGCTGTTTCCGAAGGGCTACTTCGAGTGCCAGGCTCATGTGATGCGGGCCTGCAAGACAGCTCAGGAAGTGAACGACATTCAGACCGCGCTCATGAAGACGCACCTATGTACAGTGGACTTGTTCTTGAAATCGATCCTGAAGATCTGCAACGATGCTCAGAGCTACATCAGGCAGAAGAAGGCTTCCCAGGATCGTTCAGAGGCCAAGAAAAAGAGACAGCAGGAGGCGGAGCAAACTTTGAAGGCGAAGGAAGCCGCCAAGAATGCAGCCCAAAAGGCCAGGATGTTTAGCAAGCAGGCCCACCCCATCTTCGGCATCAAGGAGGACTCGTGGAAGGCCTTCTTGGTTCACTCCGGCGAGAACTTTGACGTCGCCGCGAACGTGAATAAGCCGTGGGTCATGCGGGCAAGTGCAGCTGCTAAGACTTGGAGGAATCACTCAGACAGCAGTGTGAAACTCTCTGAGTTTGGCGGGGCATATCGCAAGACTCCCTCGATCAAGGTTGATGGCAGGGCCATGGCCCCTGTTTTGCAAAAGCAGGGAAAAGAGCAAGGCGAGGCGATGATGCAGAAGTTTGCTCCGACTACGAAGTTGTTGGACCTCTCCAAGCTTGCAGACGGGGCCCTCTTTCAGGCCAACTTGTGGTATTGGGGTTTCGACAACAAGATGTCTGGCGCCTTCCTGGCTCCCAATGCTGCATCCATGATCCGTGTCGTGGCTATGGGGTCTGTGAGTATGGTAGCCTTTGACGTGGCCAAGATCGTGACTCAAATGGAGGCCGTGAACAAGGCGCCAAACAGCCTCTCAGATGTCACGGACTTTATTCTGAGCTTGGATGACACGTACTTCATTGAGCATGCTGACGAGAACCTTGGCTACGCCACGACGCTCAACCAAGATGACATTTGCTTTGTGCCTCAGGGCTGGATCATCGCGGAACAGGTCTCAAGCACATCATCCTTGACTTACGGTGTGAGAAAAAGCTATCTCATCGATGATGTTGCATCCAAGAACAGTTACCTGGCAGCAGTCAAGCTGCTGAAGAGTGGCGGCGGCCGCAACACCGAGAAGATGGAGGAAGTGGCCAAACAGTTTTCCGAGGATGCAGTCGTGGGTGATGGAGCAGCTCCGGCAGCTGAGGCAGCTCAGGCTGCTGTCGCTGCATCGTGAGTGCCGCGACGGGGATGTGCAACAGTGCAACATTTAAGGTCGTTGCTTCTGGGAGGGGGTTGGGAAACCATAACGAGGGTTCAGGGTAGGTTCAGACCCAGACCATTGATTTCCACGTTTGGGTTGCGTCCGTGTTGAAACCTGTCGTTTCTGGCTCTGGGCCTCTGCGACTGTCGAAGTTAGTTGATTAGTCGCAGTTGAGAAGCTCAAAGACCACTGCTTTTTTTGAAAACCAATTTTTTTTCTAGTTTGCAACTTGGCTGCTAGTGGTTTGGCTCGAATAGGTGCTCATGTGCAATTTCCATGTATGCCTGAGAGGTACAACTGCTGCAAAATACACATTGTCACCTTAAACCCTATACCCTAAACCCTAACCCTAAATCCTAAACCTTGAACGTGTTGTTGAAGCTGTTTCGTCGTGCTTTTGCATGCCCTGGCCGACGTTCGAACGTGTTGTTGAAGCCGTTCGCCGTGCTTTTGCATGCCATGACCGACTTCTTAGAGCTGCCTACTACTTTCGGGTTGTCTCGGAGCAGCCGGAACGAGGAGCGTAGCAAGTTGAAGCACAAGCTGCCGAAATGGCTGCTTCTGTACGTGGTCACACCAGAGGCTGACGGCCACGATGCAGAAGTGCGTTTGGCTTGCAGAGCCACACGGGTCGTGGAGCACGTTGGCGCAATGAAGCCAACGGATGCCCAGGAATGCCAGATTTGGAGGGCGTGAAACCGACACAACGAAAGGGTGAGGTCTCGAAAACACAAAGCATGTCTTTTTGTGCCTGGAAGTTTGACAAAGTCTTCAGGTTCCGGGAGCCTGTGTGTGTAGAACGATCACAAATTGCTGGGAGACAACTGCAAAAAGTCAGCAACGTCAGTGCGGATGTTTGGCATCTGTGCTGGGCTTCGAAGGGCTGCCAACTGATGCCATCTCTTCCCGAAGAGAAACGGTTTTCAGACTTGTCTCCGGCGAAAGGGTGGCTTGTGCAAGTTCCAGGGGCTATGGCGTTGCTTGGCTGTGAGACCATGCCCTCCGAGCCAATCTTGTGGACCCCAGCATCTGTGGCAGCCAGCCTGCATGTCACTGTTGAGAAGGAGTCACCTTCTCTTGTTGAGGCAGCAGAAGCTGAGGCCGAAGCTGGAGCAGCTCTAGCAGGGCGGGTCGCGGGCATGAGGCTGCAACCGATACAGGAAATCCACACCATCCGATTGACTTTTGCGCTTCAGAATAGCTCAGATCTTCCTGTAGTTGTGAACTCAGTGATTCGGTTTTTAGGCCCCTTCATAGGGGACCCGGATCCGACAAAGCTAGCCGCAGCGATGGCCTCTATTCCCGGGCGTTACATGCTTCGCTCCGGGATGCTTAAACTAGATATGCTGCACATGCTCTTCAGGCGAAGCGTCATGCAACAAGGCCTCGCTCAGCAGATGCGCATAGCCCGATACCTCAGCATGGATGCTTCACCTCAAGGCGGGTATGAGTACTTGTGTATGACGGAGGAGGTAATGGAACGTAGTCAACCCGTCGTCCTCCCCGAGTGTCCATTCAGCGGCTTCACCTACACACAGAGAACAATGCCCATCATGACATTAGCGAGGGGAGAGACTAGGACATTCGTCAAGGCACAGAGGCTGAAGCATGCAATCTGCTTGGAGAGTTCCTTGAAGCATCTGGATTTGTACAGGTCACAAGTGAAGGGGTGGGTGAGTGATCAAGGAACAGAGAAGGCTGTGCCTCAGACATTTCTCGGTGATTCTGCCCAGTTGCAAGATATGACTTCCAGCTTGCAGGATGGTAGCCCCACTTTGGAGGCGATGCTGGCATCCAGCAAGCAATCGTTTCTCTGGAACAGTTTGCGGCACCCCGGGTATCTGCACATCATGTTCAATGCCCTGGAAGAAACTTGCAAAGGCTGCCCTCGATGGGAGGTTTTTGAAAAGCAGCTGAGCAGTGTTTCCAAACTGCTGACGAATCGCTCCTATCGCGAGATAGTCTTGTATCGTATGATGTCTGAGGCTACTCAGCAAGAGAAGCAGACAGTGCAAGGCTACCACGGCGAACTCCTATCATGGAGATGGGAGAGCTTGCATCATACGTTGCGGCATTATGTGCACGTGCGACCGGTTCTGCAGAAGTACCTGAACCCCGAAATGCTTTCTTCGGAGGCCGGTTTCATAGACCACCTGAGTGCTTTTTTGTCGGATCCATGGCACCAGGGCTACGTAGAGTGGGCATTGATGTTTTCCGGGTTTGTGCAGACGTGGGCCCATTGGCTTGAAGGTTGTTTCTGCCACGAGGAACAGCTTCAGCAAGCCAGGACTCGCAAGGCCCGGGACAAACTGAAGTGTCCATGGAAGGGTCGCCGTACTTCCGTGCTCATTGCTGGGTGCAAGGATCGGATGTTGCAAGCTTTGCAAAGTCACGGAAGTGCTCGCTTCACAGAGGCCATGCTCGAGTTGCCGCAGGAGGTTTCAGCCGCCATGGTTCTGATGAACTCCCAAGCTCGAGACAAGTGGTCAGCTGTGCTGTCACAGAAGACGTCTTACCTTGATCATGTGCCGCACAAGTTGGCCGGTGCTTTCGCTCACCTCGCCGATCCTGGTCGCTACTCTTTGTCAGGAAGCAAGCGCATTGTGCAGGAATGCTTTGCAGAGTATGTGACTTTGAAGTCCCAATGGCGAACAACTGCTCTCCTTTCAGGGCTTTTTGAGCGAAGTGGCATGGGCGAGACGGCGGACCAGCTGTGGGCATATGCCAACAGCCCAGACACCAAACAGCTGAGAGACTTCCCCTTGGCTTGGGTGGAGGTTCAGGAGAGGGCCTTTTGCACGAATGTAGAGCGGATGACGGAACGGCAACACGTCTTGGTTAAGATAGCAGGCCACAGGACTTTGAGGTTCGCAGGCCCTGCCATGACCTGTGTGCGTGCCCGGCGAGATCAGCTGCAGCAAATGATCGACGACCCCCAAATGTGTGCTTTCTTGGTTTCGAACTGGCGACGTCGTACCATTTTCAGAGAACTGCTTGAACACGTGATGAGTGCCAAGGATTGCAATAAATCCAGCTTTGCTCATCGTGTGAGCCGTAGTGAAATGGAAGAGGAAGAGAAGTCTGGGTTGGCCCTGGGGAATGCCGTGGCGGGGGCATTGAGAGACGTGGGTTCTGTGAGACCTCACTTGGAGAAGCAACAGTGGATGATGGTTGATTTCATCAAGAGCCAACTCCCCACTGGCACCGTTTTCTCTCTTCCTGAGTTCCTGTTGGGGAGTCTGCTCGGCGAACCGCTGCCGGAGTCTCAGGAACAACACGGTCCTCTGGACTTGGAGGGCTTTGCCGATTCATTGTTGCCAGGGGACATTCCAGAGCTTGTTGCTAGAGAACGTGTCTTTTGCTCTGTGCTGGATGCTTGGCCAGAGCGACGGACCGAGGTGCAGACTCTGAGAGCCATTGGTAACGACCGCAAGGGGCACATGAACGTCGTTCATTTTTTGAGTGTGAATCTTAGCAATGCTTCACAGCCTGTGGTGTCCTATCAAAATGTGCAACATCGAACCCTGGATTTCAGTCATGTTGCGACACTGCCCTTTCTGAAGCTCTTCTCGTCATTGTGCCACGTTTGGGGTCCTCGCTGCAAGTCCTTCAAGGTGGAGGTGCTGCCACTGAAGGACCAGGCAGCAAGGATGTCGTCTGAACTGAAGGTGACCTTGCCGCAATTCACGACCGACGACGACATGCTGGCCGATCTAGCCGGGCAAGCAATCGAAGACCAGGAGTTGCGTCTCCGTGAGCCAGGCGATGGCCCAGACGTGGGAGCTGGGCTGTCCACTGCCCAGGAGGAGAGCATGCTGAACCAGTTGTTGAAACACAGGGCTATAGGGGATAAGTTCGTCGAGTCTTCTACCTTGAAAGAGTACCACGGCCGAGCTGTTCAGAGCTTGGTTGAGAAGGGAGTAGTGCAGGTTCGGTGGGATGATTTCGGCGAGTCATCTCTGGCTATGAGCAGCGATATGAACTTGTCGACGTTGCTGCTCTTGACAGAGCCTGAAGTTTCGCTGTTCACAAGCAAGACCTGAGCAACCCTGCAGGCCGTAACAAGGTCGGATGGTTGAGAGGACTCCTGGTCAAATCTTGGAAGCCTAGGGGCAAAGACAAAGATCCAGAGTGGAGAGTCAAGGGCAGCCGGAAGCTGCTGCCTGCCAACCTTCTGGATTCCTGTGAGCCTCACCTTGTTTGTTTGGCACTGGAAGACAGCCTTCTGGCGATCTGCGAAGGATCTGTCATGGCGGCAGTGCTGACTACTACCAGATGCTACTAAAAGCACCGGACTTGACAGGTGTCCAGGAATGGACAGTGCAGCAGTGCCGTGAGTTTCGGGACAAGAAACGAAAGGCAACACGTACTGCTCCACGTCATACTGGCAGCGGGGCGAAAGCAAGCACCCAAGAGCCATTGCGACTCGCTCTGGAGCTTCCCGTTGAGCCTCGTGTGAAATGCCGGGTGGCGGGGCTCGAAGATCTCGTCATCTATTTTGACAATTTCACACACCAGAGCGGCCACCGTCGTGCTTTTTGCCAGTGTTTGCAACATGCCGATTGCAGACGATACACCTTTGTGAAAAATCACAGGGACCAGGATGAGGCAGTTGCGTGGCTGTTAGCATGGGCTTCCTCTGGGCCCCGTTTCGATGATGCAGAAGAGCACGTGAAACACAACCCCAGTGACACTGCTGTGCAATCCATGGAGGAAAGGCAGCGGTTGGGGGTCTGACCCGGCAGACTGCTACCAGTCGCCGCGTCTCAGCCTGGTTCGCCTTCGGCAGATTCTCAGAGCCGGTCGTTCTGCAAACCAAGAGAAAGAGAGTAGTGACTGCCTGCAGCCCCACAGTCTAGGTTTTGACCCGAGTTTGACAACAGCATATCTTGTCTGAGCCTTTTATTTGTCTTGTCATTCATTTCTCAGAGATTCTCGGACACCCAGAGCCTCCCAAAAACACAGTGCGTTTGTGTGGGTCCGAAAACACCAGTGCTTCTGTATGGGTCTGGGTAGGATCTGTGCCTTGAAGTGTGTTTGATGCAGTGTGACATCCGCAGCATTTTTTGGCTCAGTCGATGGGCTCTTTGAAGGGCTTCCTGGAGCGGATGACCAGGCAGGTGGGCTTGGTTCTCCAAGTGTATAAGATGTTCAAGTGGGGTCTGGCAGTTGTTTTTATGTTAGTTTAAAGGAAGTCATCGTACAGTAGGCGAGGTTGGTGCAGGCCGTGCAATCGGCGCTGAGCTGGCCTGGGAGTGCCTGGCAGCGGGCGGGCTTGTTACCGTGCAGTCGGCGCTGAGCTGGCCTGGGAGTGCCCAGCAGGGCGCCCGGGCAGCTCGGCGTGCAGGCGGCGGTGGGGCCCGTGCTCGTTGGTGCGAGGACTCAGAAGTGAGAAGAGCAAAGCACACCGTGCAGTCGGCGCTGAGCTGGCCTGGGAGTGCCCGTCAGGGCGCCCGGGCAGCTTGGCGTGCAGGCGGCGGTGGAGGTGGAGCCCGTGCCAGCACACCGTGCAGTCGGCGCTGAGCTGGCCTGGGAGTGCCGTCAGCGCGCCCGGGCAGCTTGGCGTGCAGGCGGCGGTGGGGCCCGTGCCTAACAGGTCACTTGCTGTTCAGTTTGGGGTTTAGGGTTTAGGGTGTAGCTGTAAGTTTAATTAAGATAGAATTAAAACCAGCGAGCAGAGGATGCCGGCGCCACGTACAGAGTCCCGAGCACCACCACCGCCGCCGGCACCACCGCACGTTCCCGCGAGGAAGGTGCCGGAAAAGCGGATCCTGAGCTCGGAGTACCACAGCAGCAGCTACGAGAGCGAGCCCGAAGCACCCAAGAAAAGTCCTGTTGTTGTTGAAGTGCCGGAGGACTCCACGGCAGTGTCTGTGGAGACAGTGGCAAATCCGGAGCCAAGGGAGAGGGACCCAGAGGCGTCGGATAGTGAGAAGGGTGTTGGCCACAAGAGAACCCCGAGCCGCGGTGGCCGCAGCCGCAAGAGAAGCCCGAGCCGGAGCCGCCGGAGCCGCAAGGACAAAAAAAGCCGGGGCCGCAGCCGCAAGAGACGGAGCCGCAGCCACAAAAGCCGCAGTCGGGGCAGCCGAAACAAAGCAGCACGAAAAGAAAGCCCCGACAAGAAGAAGGAGCGGCGCAAGGACAAGAAAGCAGAGAAGACGAAGCCGAAGAAGCGACGCATGAGGCTTGCCTCTATCAGCTTTATTTTCCTAGGAGAGTTTTGAAAATTCTTGCGAAGTTTTCAAAACGTCTTTGCTTTATTTTCGAACGACATATCATGGCATGAAAGCATGCTTTGAATCGTCCGAGTTAATATCTTTAATTTCCCGCGCCGCCTCGAGACAGGGGTGGGATGGGTGGGTAGCTACTCCCTGGCCAAAGGGCCAGAAATTTTTGTAGTGGGGTGTAGCGTGTGCCATGCTGGCTTGACAAGGCCGAGATTGCGGCCAGCATGTCGGGAGATGACTCTCTTGAAAGTAGCCTCAAGAGGGCTCGTGTGCAAGGGGCTTATGAGAGTCACCATGTGTCGTCAACTCGTGTTGCATCCCGAGGGCTTGGAGGTACGGTTAGGATGCCGTGGGAAATAGCTTCTACATTTCTAGACATGCCTGCCTTGCCCTCGCCTTTCGCCAAAGGGGGATGCATCGTGTCAAGGCCAGTAGGGCCGGCCGGTCCTGCAGGGCCGGTGAAGTCGTCTTCGGGAAAGCTTGAGTCACTCAGGCTTGCAGGAGTGAAGGTTCCGAGTGTGCCCGGACAGAGCTGGGATCAGAAACTCTCTGAAGCGAGGGAAGCAGCTTTGGCAAAGTGGCTAGGGATTCTTGAAAGGTTCCCTGACGATTTCGGTCTTTCTCTGTCGGTTCGGTTAGATAAGGAGAACGGGCGAGACTCTGACTTGAAGTCTTCCTTGCAAGATGTGTTTTCTCAGAAGGCGAGCGTCACGATCTCGGGTCGTGCTGGGCCTCTTGCCAGGTACATCAAGCACTGCCGAAGTCGCCAGGTCATGCCTTTCCCTGTCACTGAAGCAGGGATCTATGCTTTCTTACAGGATTATGCATCTCACGAGGCGCCCACTTTCGCCAGGAGTTTCTTGAGCAGCCTCGCTTTTGCAAAGTTCACTGTGAGCTTGAAGGTGAGTGATGAAGTCTTCAGCCCCAGGGTCCGTGGACTGTCGTCGAAGCTGTATCTTGAAAAGAGGAAGACTCGGCAAAAGCCGTCGCTCAAAGTTGATCATGTGCGCAAGTTGGAGGCCATCGCTTCCGGCTCAATCGTGCTCGAACCTTCAGACCGGGTCGCTGCTGGCTTCTTCGTGTGGACCTTGTACGCACGAGCGAGGTACTCGGATGCCCAAGCTGCGGGTGCAATGACTTGCGACTTGAGCGATACGCCAGACGGCACAGTCGGCTACCTGGAGTCCGCTGTTGAGCGAAGCAAGACTTCGTTCTCACTGGAAAGAAAGGTCAGGTATTTGCACATGTTTGCTCCCATCCAAGGAATAGGCGAGGTGCCCTGGGGTGTCAAGTGGTTTGAGTTCTATAAGGAGCATGGGCCTCCTTTGGGGTCGGGTAAGCCCTTGCTTCCGAGCCCGCTCTCTGGCGGAGGGTGGCAAACATCACCGTTGGCGGTGGCTAGTGCCACGAAATGGATGAAGTCACTCTTGATCCGTGCAGGTTGCGACAGGTCTTCCGTTGAACCACTTGGGACGCATAGTCTCAAGGCAACGACCTTGAGTTGGAGCGCCAAATTCGGACTACCCCGCGAGGTGAGAGCGGCCTTAGGCTATCACTCCAAGGGCCGTGATGGAACCGAGCTCATCTATGGGAGGGACAACATGTCTGCTCCTGTGCGCCAGCTGCAAGGGGTTCTGCTCGAAGTGTCGCGCGAAAGGTTCACGCCGGACGCCACCAGGTCCGGTTACTTCGTGAAGCGCTTTGAAGATCCAGAGGGGATGCCCATTCCTCCTGACGAGGTTCTGTCGGATTCTTCTTCCGAGGCCAGCGAGGATGCCGAGGATGTCGATCATGTAGCTGCGGAGGCGGCCACCGACGAGTTGGGTAGGCAATGGGAGCCCGATGCAGGCTTGCGTGCCGAGCTTGAAGCAGTCCCTTTGTTCAGGAACAAGGACAGCCGTTTCATTCATGCTGTCGCGTCCGAAGAAGGCGACAAGTTCAGATGTGGGAGGAACATCTCGACCAGGTATGAAAGGTTGTCCTCCGTCCCTCGAATTTTGTTTCCGCTGTGTAGAAGCTGTTGCCCACCTAAGAAGTGATGCTGAGGAGTGCAGTGAAAAGGAGCTTCTGAGTTTCTGGGCGTTGCGCGCTTAGGCTGAGTGCTTCCAGGAGTGTGTGCGATTTGTAGTTTTCGAGTGACATGCAACGGTCAGAAGCAAGCATCGCGTACATGAGGAGTCGGCTCAGTCTTAGGAAGTCTGTGCTCAACCTGGTAAGTCAGAGTCCAGGCCACGAGGTGCGGATTCGGGAGTGCTCTGAGAACTTTCAGCTTGATTTGTAGGAGTATCACTAGCCCGGTTCCTGCTCCTGACGATGGCGAACTACTCTGAGAGTCAATCGGTTCTGCAGTCGCGATTGAGTGTCGTGGGTTTCGCGGAAGCTGACGTTCAGAAAATACTGCCAGAGGTGGGAAACTTGAGGAGGCTGGCTTTCATTTCTTCTTTCACACCTGGTCAGACTGACGAGGGGCCGTTGATGCAGGTGTTAAAAGACATCTTGAAGCGAGACCTGACAATTGCAGACAAGGCGAATTGGCGTGCGGTTTACAATGAGGCTTTTGCCATTGTGACCGCGGAAATGAAGCAGAGGATTGAGAAGGCCGACCCAGAGTCGACCGTCAGGCCTTTGTCTCAGCCTGAGAGGTCGGAGCGGTACGAGCGGCAGGCCAAGAAGCTTGTCGGGATATCACTTAAAGGGCCTTTGGAGCCTGCCGATGCACTTGTTGATCTTGCTGTGGCTTCCTATGAGGCAAATGAGCTGAGGTACATTCCGTGGGACCGGTGTGTGTCTAAGGAAGCTGAATTGGCTGGCGAGAAGAAACGTGATGTCAGGTTTACTGTTGAGGAGTCTTCGGGCAAGCTTCGGATCGAGCATAAACAGCCTGATCTAGTTGCGGATACCTCTTCAGAGATTCTTGTTCAGCAGGCTCTCACCAGGAGAGCGTTGGCCATGGATCAGGCTAACCTGATCGAGTTTAGTATTGCTGATCAATGGACTCAACGCTTGATGAAGGCTCGCATGCAATCGCCTGCGGAGCATTTTGCCAGGCCCACTTGGAAGCAGCTTGAGTCGGCGGACCGGCAGCTGTTTACCGAGCTACGCGACAAGACCAGGGCAGGTGTGCAGACCGTCGCATCGGGTCGCCCGTTGGATTCACTCCTGCCCGATGTGATGTACATGAACGAGGTGTCATGCCTATTGCAGCCTTTTCCGGCCCCTTCCATGAAGGATGCTCCCCAGAAGCCGGATGCTCCCAAGTGGGAGAGGCCATCACCTTACACCAAAGGTGGGGGCAAAGGAAAGAAAGGTAAGCAGAGGTTCATGACAAGGTTGCCCGCCGGTTTGGAAGGCTGCAGGTCCCACACAAATCGTGGGGACCCAATCTGCTTTGCCTTCAACCTGGGTGGCTGCTCGACGAAGGGGCAGAAGTGCGAGAAGGGCTTGCGCATCTGTGCAGTGCCTAAGTGCGGTGCTCATAACCATGGTGCGGCGCAGTGCCCAAAGCGGGCGCAGGGGGGCTCGTGACTATCGGGTCTCGAGGGTGCCTCGCTGATGGCCGGTGCTCCAGAGAGTGTGCATCAGCCGGCAGCGGAGGCCTCGCAGGTGGATGATCTCCTGGAGGGAGTTCATCGGCCGAAAGGTGCATGCACGGGTGGCTGTCCAGCGAAAGGTGTGGATTGTCGCCCAACTCCGAGTGTTGATCGAGAGGATCATCACGAGCACAACGTTGGCTCGTACAGTGCCATCGCTAGGCCGCTAGGCCCTCGCCGAGTGTGGTGGAGGCCGCACGCAGCAGGTCCCCGAAGCACCGAGATGGGGCGGGGCCACAGAGCGGCAAAGCGAGTTCTTCACTTGACGAGGGTCATGTGAGTGCCGCTGATGTCCTTCGAGTTTTCGATGGACTTCCTTCAGATGACTTGAAAAGGGGTGCCAGTGCGCCTCTCCCAACTTCAAAGTCTTATGCCACAGGAGCGTATGTTCTTGGGGGCAATGTTGGTTTGAAGGCTAATGCCTCAGCTAGCCCAGAAGCGCTCGACATCTTTGCAAGGTTTGTGAGGCAGAGCGTTCCGGGGTTCAAATTTTCTTCAATAAATATATTCGAGGATGTTCGCACTGAGCGTCACCGCGATCAGTGGAATGCAAATTTGCATAACCTGGCGATTGCCCTAACAGAATTCTCAGGTGGCGCCATCTTTGTAGAGCACGAAGATGGCCGGGATGTCTCGTCCCTCAATGGTGCCCCGGGTTCTCGCCTGGCTGTTGCAGCGGGCCCCGTGCGATTCAATGCAAGGCATTATTGGCACTACACTGAGGCTTGGCAAGGCCGGAGGGTCGTGCTGATAGCATACACAATCCGCCATGTTGAATCGCTGAGCAAAGAACACCTTGATTTTCTCCGGAGGTGCAATGTAGATGTTCCGACATGCGCGCCTGAGAGCGCGCGTTTGGCGCCTGCCCAGGTGTGTGGTCGTCAGCAGCCTTCCTCACCCCCTAATGGAGCTCAGGTGTCGCTTAGGCCTTTGCCCGCTTCGGTTGCGCCCACCGATAGCCCTCAGGAACCTAATAGCGGCCCTGGTAGTCCTTTAAAGCCTGGTTCTGCTCTCTATGTTGAAATAAAGTGCGGTTCCGGTTTGCTAGCTGCTCGTGTGCGGCGAGATGGATTTCAAGTCATGGCGCTTGAACACTCGCGCCCTGCTGGGAGGGTGCACATCCACCTGGTCCCGGTGGACATCGAAACTGAATCGGGTTTCTCCTTTGCGCAGACTGTCATTGGCCAAGATGCCCCTTTTCATGTGCATTTCTTCCCGGCGACTAAGGATTGTTTTAAGGCCTCTTTCGACGCAGTGCAAACCCTTCGCCTCGCCAAGCTCTTGCTCGCATCTGACTTGCATTGGAGTATCTTGCATCCCCTGGAGTCGGCCCTGTGGGGCCAGCTGGACTTGCCCGATGCAGTGCACTGCGTCGAATTTTGTGCCGGCTGCTACGGGGCTCCCAGCCCGGTAAAGATGCGCATGTGTACAACCCAGCCCGCGCTGGCAGGCATGCCCATAACAGTTTGCCGCTGTCGCCCAAGGCCCCACGTTGCGGGCTCGCTTGCGCCAGATTCCTTGTACACAACGAAATTCTGTGATGTTTTCGCTGGCCTCTTGCAGCTGTCGGTAGGCCACGCCGGCCTCTTACTTGAACATGCTGTTCCGCTGCAATGCTCGCGTCATTCTGCAGCCGCTGCCGCAGGGCGACAGCCTCGATTGTCAAAATTCCTGCCACAGATCGCCGAATTTAAGTGCCAAGCCACGGTCCGTGAATTCCCGTGGCCTCTTCCTTTGGACGATAAAGGTAATCTTACATGTGCCTTAGGGTCAATCCCTCCTGGCTCCCGCCTCCTTCGCATTGTGTGTGATCGGGGGGTTGTCGGTGCGAAGCAGGTCGGAAGCCTGTCAGGTGTGCCTTCGTCAGTTACTTTTGGCATCTACCGCACAGAACATGAGTTTGTGGCGCAGGCTTTGCATATAGATCATCCCTTCGACTTGTGCGTGGCAGTCCCGGACTTCATGCTGAGAGCCTTGGCTTTTACCTTGAAAGAGGGTCCGGTTGGCGTGATGAAACACCGTTTGAATCTGCTCCAGCAGTGGACTTCTTGGAAGTGTGAGCTGTCAAGGGCCGAAGCCGAGCTTCACGCTGCCATGGATCCTGGTGTGGCATCTGTGATGAAAGGCAAGAATATCTTGCTTCTGGAAAAGATCGCATTAACTTTCGGTTGGCCAGACACGGAAGTGTTCGAACACCTTAAGCATGGTTTTCCTTTGGTCGGGGAGTCGAGCCCTTCCGGCATTTTCGATGTAGATAGAAAGCCGGCTCTGATGACGCGTGCAGAGCTTGTGCAGCATGCCAAGTTTCTTAAGCCGGCGTTGTGGGCGAAGGTGGCGAGCGCAGAGGTGGATGATCTGGCTCGGGAGGTGTGGGATTCCACACAACAAGAGATGCTAGTCAAGGAGTGGCTGACAGGGCCTTACTCGTGGGACGAGCTGCAAGCCCGTCACCCCGAAGGATGGCTTCCAGTGCGGAGGTTCGGCATTGTGCAAAAGGCCAAGACGCGATCGATCGATGACTTGGCCGAGAACTCGGTCAACCCGGAAACGCGCTACATTGTGGACATCCCTTCGACAGACATATGGACACATACCACAAGGCAGCACTCTTGTATCTGCAGGTGACTACAACTGCAATCTGACCACCTTGAAGTCTCATACAGGACCGGGCATGATTACACCGACGACGCCTTCACCGGATATGGAGGACCTCGTGGCGATTGTGCAGGACTTCTCGTTGCTTGCTGTCAACACATTCGGCAGGAAGAACAGCTACACCTACATCCATGAGGGGTGCAAGCCGGTACGCCGCTCCTTCATTGACTACATGTTTGTTAGGCAGAACAAGCACAGTGATTACAAGTCTGGACTTCTGCGTGATTGGCAGGTTGCGCGCTGGCGCAAAGGTGGAAGGCATCTCCCGGTTTGGTCACGATTTTCCATACGACGGTTCAGGACTCAGAAACCACAGCAGAAGCTTGAATGGCCTCGATGGCGCTGCCGCCTTCTTTCACAGGCCATCAAGGAGCAACCACAGTTGGCCGAGCGCTACACAGAGCAGGTTGCCGTTGCATTGCAAGCTGTTGATAAGTATGAGCCCAAGAAGTTGAACGCCCTACTGCTGGAGGTTGGGAGAAAGGTCTTTCATGTTCAGCGTCCACCCAGCTTGCCGCCGCCCTGGACTGGAGCGCAACACATTGGCGGCATCAAGGACATGTGGCAACATTATCGACTCATGCGCAGGTCCTTCGAGGAGGCCAATCGTTCTCGTGTGGGGCGACTCCGTGCTATGGTGCAGGCTTGGAAGCATAGGGTTCGTTTCTTGAAAATGCATCGCATGGTTCAGAAGCATTCTCGACAACTACGCCGGACCAGGTTGGCACAGCTACTTCAGGAGGCGGATGCTCACACACGCTCTGGCTGCAGTCAGGCGCTCTTTGATCTAGTTCGGAGAGTGGCACCCAAACAAGCACGAAAACGAGCTCAGCTACGGACTAAGGAGGGCAAACTGCTTACTCCGGCTGAAGAAGCCCGTGCCCTACAGGATTTCTGGCGATCGGTGAATGGCGCACCAGGGTCGCTCCTTCGTTCGGGACAGGCTTCCAGCTACAGCGTGCTGCAGCAGGACATTGAGCAAGCCCTACGCGATCTTCAGGCGAGCAAGGCTGCCCCGCCACACTGTGCTCCACATGCCTTCTGGAAACTGGCCTCTTCCCCAGTTGCTGCGTTCATGGAAGATAAGGTTTTCTCAAGCTGGCGTGAGGATCAAGCGTGGGTCCCAGATGATTGGTCGGCGGCATGGCTGGTGTTCCTGCATAAAGTTGGCAAGGCCAACGATGACCCCGCATCATTACGGCCCATCGCGCTGCTAGACCCAATGGGCAAGGCAGTCAGCGGTGTCCTGAAGAGGCACCTCGAACCATATTTGATAAAGGCAACTGCCACATTGCCACTTTATGGCTATCTTGCGAACAGATCCCCGCAACAGGCCCTCACGGTGGTCTATGAGCACTGCGATAGAGTTCGAACTGCTGCCCGAGCCCAAACTCGATCCTGGTACGAACTGCGAGCGGGACAGAAGAGGTCATCGTGTGCAGGGGGCCTCCAGGTCAGTGTGGATTTTTCTCAAGCGTTTGACCGTGCAGACCGACAACTTTTGGTGCGTGCCTTGCAATTTCTTGAAGTGCCGGATGACTTGACCGATGTGATTCTCAGGTGGACCCAGAATACGGTTTTCCACATTCACAAGGCCGACGCGTCTGAACAGTATCATTCCAGTACTGGCATCCGCCAGGGATGCAAGTTGTCTCCTACACTGTGGTGCTGTCTGTACACCTATGTGCTACATGTTCTTGATCAACAGCTTGGTGCGGAGTGGAGCTTAGCGCACCTGCTGGGATTCGCGGGTGACACACATCTGCGATGGGAATTTCAGGATCGAGAAGGCCTGCTCAAGGCCCGTGTTGAGGCAGGACGTGCACTCAGCATTCTTGAGGACCTCGGTTTCTGCATTAGTCGGGATAAAACAGTATGCTTGCTCAAGGCGGAGGGTGTCCAAGTTCCACATCTGATGCGCAAAATCACGCGCAAACGCCTGCAGCCCAAAGGCACTCTGCTGATTCTCGATGAGAGATGGACGTTGCCACTCAAGCGCGACCACATCTACTTAGGAGCTGTGATCTCATATGGCAACTACGAGATGCTCAATGCACAACATCGCAGACATGCAGGACAAGCTGCCTTCTCACGCATGCGCACTACGCTTATGTCGCACCGTGCTCTCTCCCTTGACAAGAGGCTGCATCTATGGCGTACCATTGTCCTGCCGGCCACTTTGTATTCCTTGTCTTCTTCAGGATACACCAGGAAATCCTTTGATCTCATCCGGGTCCTGATGGTCAGGCAGATTCGTGCCATTGCCCGCAGTCCGAGACACCTCACTGAGGAGAGTGATCTGCATCTACTACAGCGCCTACGGCTGCCTCAAATACATGAGATGCTGCTTCAGGTCCACAGTCGAGTCGTTGAGGCTTCCACTTCTTTACGCCAGATCCTTAGTCCGCAAGATGTACGTCTCACGCAGGATATCGTCCAGCGTGAATGTCGGCTCTATGAGGCTTTCAAGCAACTGGTTGCTACGGATGCAAAGGCTGCTGGCACGCCGAACAGGCTCACGTGTGAACATTGCGGGCAATCCTTTGACAATGATGCAGCCCTGCGGCAACACAAAGGTTGTATGCACAGCAAAACCAGAATGGAGGCGGCACCCACGGTGTTCGACAGGCAACAACATGGCACTGACGGCATGCCGCGTTGCCGTGGATGCGGGCATCCCTTCGCTAGGTGGGCGGACCTTCAGAAGCACATCGAGGAGAACCACTGCCAAGGCAAAATCCAGGAGGAAGCGCCCGCCCCTGAAGAGCGGTCCTCCGTTCTGCAGCAGGCTCGTGATGGCACGCTACATATACAATCGCTCACTCTGTCCATGCTGACGGACGAGCTTAGGCTGGAGCTGCTCTCACATTGTGCGTGTTGTAGACAGTGGATGCCCAACTCCAGATACGTCAAGATGCACTGGAATCGAGTGCACAAAGTTGAATCCCAACAGTTTCAGGCTCGTACACTGCAGTGGCGTCGTCTTTCTTTTGAGCCCATCAAAAACACCTGTCCTTGGTGTCAGGGAACCACTGCGGACCGCTCAGATCATCGGGACACCTGTCCGGTCCTCTTTCAGCTCAGTATGGTTCGGGCCATCATCCTATCTGCTGATGAGGCTGAATCTCCGGAGGCTGAGGCAATGATGCCGGACATGACTCTTCCAGCAAAGGACGACATACCATCATGGAACATGGAGTGTATGCTGTGCCGCGAGTCATGCACTGCCAGAGGGTTGCGCAAACATTTCGATCAGAAGCACCATGTGATTTGGAATCAGGCTCAACCTAAAGTGGACTTGCTTTGCGCGGCTTGGGCAAAGGGACTTGAAACCAAATGTCAGTTTTGCAACAGTACCTACAACAAGCGCAATCGGCATGCCATCACTTGTCCTGCCGTTACACAGACTGCCCTGGCGCGCGTGTTGAGCTATACCTCAGCCCCGGCAACGAGTGCACCACCGACTGATGGCGACCGCAATGACACCCGGAGCAGCACAGGCAGCGCTTCAGGAAGTGTTTGGATCCTTGGTTGCGGAGAACGGGCCACTGATGGACTTCGGAGCGGGATCCAACATAGGCAAGCGCAACTCGGAGAATCCACTGGGGCCCCTAACGAGCCGACCAGCCAAAACGGGCCGTCTCAACAACGGTCAAAAGGGCGGACGCGGCAAAGGAGGGCGACCGTGGCATCAGCAGGGCAGACGCTTTGTTTCAGGGTCCAGCCATCAGCAGCCGCAGCAGCAGGAGGAGGTGAGCATGGAAGACCTGTTGCGACTTCTATCTTCGATCATCATGCGACACGAGGACCAGCTGAAGATTCTGAGACAATCAACGGGTTGGGTGTTGTTCGCGAAAACAGCATCTCCGTCCATTGTACCGGGGATCCTCAAGGCCTCCCTGAAGTGGAAGGACGACGTGGTCAAGCCGGACTGCAAGTTCGCCAACGTGAGCTTGCGCGCAATCCTCTTCTGGAATCTGATGGAGCAGATGTTAACGGTGCTGCAGGGTCTCACGCAGGAAACGAAGGCCAAGGCTGTGGAAGAGGGGTGGATGAACAGTGCGGGCGCTTGGGTGTTTCAGGAGTGGTCGCACGAGAAGCACTGCCTGCAGATCGACAGCTCCAGGAATCCAACAACGACGGAGGAGCTCCTCAACATCCTGCGCGAACTGAAGACGCTCGCGACCTCAGAGGTGATCTCAGCGTTCTTTTCGAATCGGCCGCTGACGGAGCACATGCAAGGACACATGGTAGTGTTCCAGCTGGATGTGTCGTTCCGAAAAGAAGTGGCGCATCGCTTCTACGTGCTGTTGGAAGCTCTTCAAGGACAGGCCTCCCTTCAACTGTGCGGTGTCCAACTGCGCAAAGAGGGCTTCCGGAGATCGCCTGCGGTGCAGAAGCTGGCAGAGATGCTTCGTTGAGGACGCTCATCCTGCGCAACCCCTCCAATTACTGCTACATGAACTCAGTGATGCGGAGCTTATTATGGACCATTGTGCAGGACCCTACGCTTGATGGCTCCTTCGGCAGTGCCGGGCTCACCTTTCTTAAGAACCTACTGCAACATACACAACAACCCGTGTTCATTGCAGGTCAGCTGATGTTCAGCTTTGCTCTACGCGGATGGAGGTCACCGGCCACCCAACACGATTGCGCAGAGTTCTTTTCACACATCATTGCCCGCTTTGGCATCACAGCGTTTGAAGGTGAGTGGGAAGCTCGTACAACAGTTGAGGACTCTCCGGGGCAGTTTCGATGTGAGCGCTCTGACATTGGTCGATGCACGGAGGCGATATCAATCGACCTACCTGCGGGGCGTGTGCATGCTGCTCAGTATCTTCTTCATTGCTGGCACACGCAAGCTCACCCACATGCCTTGAAGGTCGCACCGGCTCTTTTGCTGCTGCGCTTTTCTCGATATGTACAGGCGGGCCGAAGGATCAGAAAACGTACCTGCAAGATTACCTGGCCGCGACAACTTCACCTGCCACTTTTCAGGGGGAACGATGATCTTACATCAGGCACGGTTGCCTACGACGTGCTGGCTGCCATCTCACATCATGGTATCATCCTGAGTGAGGGCCATTATACAACTTTGCTCCATGCGGCAGGGGGCGACCTTCATTGCGATGACAATACCGTTCCAGAGTTCAGGGTTAAGGCCTCAGATGACACTACTCCTTATTCGTCCAGTACAGTTTATCTTTTGTTGTGCAGGCGCACAACGGAGTCCGGCCCCTTAGTGGTTGGATGAAAGTGAACTTCTTCAGTTGGGGATCCACAACTCCGCCAGCACAGGTCACTCCTGGGGTGATGAGAGTGACGGTCCGATGGTTGTGGAATGTTTTCTCGGGGATATCTGCTCTCAGTGCAAAATCAGTGGAGCTTGCTAATGCTTAAGTGCGACGTGCATCAGCGTGACTCTTGATTGCAAGGTGTACAGTTGAGCATGCTTGCCGGTGCACTCCAGTTCCAGCTTATCTCACATACAGCGCCTGCATGAACATGCACCGTTACGTTCCGTTTGGTACAATGCGCCTTTTCTTTCAATATTCTCAGGTATGAGCTGGTTTTCTACACATGTCGAGCACTCATGATCCGGAAGCCACCATCCATGCGCCCTGGTACGTGGAAGGACGCTTTGATGTGCATCTTTACTATCATGATTGGCCGGATCCCTATGAACCCACTTCGCCGACGGTGCTTGACTCCGAAGTACAGTCCAGCTCTTCTGCACACACGGTGGAATATATACGGGATGACAATACTGACGATGGATGACCACTCCAGCTGCGCCTGTCATTCTATGTAGGTACCCCGAGTCTGCCGCTGATTGAACCTGACCCTAGTCACGCTGCGGAGTGTATGGCCAGGCACTTTCTACGAGTTGGCAGCTTCTTTGAGGATCAACTATCTTCGTTATGGGACCTACTTCCACATGACAGCCCGCGTGGACATCAAACACTACTCGGCAGCGAATCCACTGCTGCATTCTCGTTCACCACAGGTGCTTTTCAGGCTGGAGGCCTGGTCGGCATACGCAGCAACGCGCTTCAGATGCCATGGGTCACTGCATTGCTTTGTCGTATTGTGCACTCTGTATTGCTTGGCGAAGGTGCTGAGGATCATCACTTCACTTCGCTATCGCTCTTGAGGAATGTACATTCTGACATACACAGTGATGGCAACAATCATCCTTCATGCAACAATTTGCTTATTCCATTGAGCCGCTTTTCTGGTGGTGAATTATGGTGCTACAATGCTGCTTCTGGGGATGTTTGTTTTCCTGGTACTGATCTGCCGGGGCTGGCTCATGCAGTGACTCCACCGTATCTGGAGTTCGACTCACACGTGCTGCATGGCACGCTTCACTGGACTGGTGTGCGTGTGGTCCTAGCAGTGTTCCACATGAAAACTCCGGAGGCTCTGAGTGACGGCGAGTTGCAATTCCTACGGCAGGTGGGTTTTCAGCCGTTGCTTACCAGTGAGATGAGTGAGACCTCGATGAGGTAACATGTGAGCCGTTACAATTGTGAGCTGTGCTGCGCTGTAGGTTTGGCGTGCTTACTCTTGTGTGACTACTGGCTGTGGCCTTTACTAGTTCGCGTAGGTACCGTGGTCTGTACAGTAGTAGTGACCTGGTAATGCTACTCGTTGCCGGTCCCTTTTTCGTAGTGTCGTTTGTAGCCTTACTGAACTTTGTGTGTCGTGCACACGAGTGCAATCTTTTACGCTTTCTGTAGTTTGCTGCATGATCACATCGCTTTTGGGTGCTACACCGGGTGTGATCTGCTGTGTTGCTTTTGGTGCTTAGGCACGGACATGGCTGAGACCTTGAGTCTCCGGGCTGTAAGCCTGTTAGGCCTACTCTAGGCGACCTTCGGGACAGGACGCTGAGTGTGAAAAAAACTCGGTCAACCGCGCTTATGCTGTCTCCGATCGGATTGCTCTGAGAGCCCTTGATGAATTGGTATGGCTTGCGATCACCCTTTTCAAAATCTTCATGGCGAAAGGCGAGGTGAGCATTCCTTTGTCGGACGGTGAACATCTTCGCTTTCCTGTGCATTCCTTCTGGAGAGCCCTGAAGCCCGAGGCGCTTCAGCCGAGCTTGAAAACAGTGGATTTAAAAAGTGCTTATAAACAGTTGGCGGTCCTGCCACGGGATCGTTGTCTGAGCATAGTGACCATCAAGGACCCGGTTTCGGGCCTCCCTTTCGGCTTCGAGAGCCGAACTCTTTTGTTCGGAGCCACCTCGTCGGTGGTTTCGTTCAACCGCGTTGCAAGATTGATCCAGAGGGTTCTGATCACGTTGCAGGTGCTGGCCTGTAACTACTTTGATGATTACCCAGTGTTGGAGGTCTTGCCACTTTGCAACAACACGCAGTCGACCATCAAAGCTGCTTTGGATCTGCTGGGCTTCTCATGGGCAGAGGACAAGGACCTTCCTTTCAGCCATGAAGCCGAGCTGCTTGGCGTTAGGGTTGACCTAGGCACTTTCGGGGTAGTTAAGATTGGGAACAAGCCTGATCGCGCTGCCTCCATTGCCGCCGCGGTGGACTCCGTCTTGAGCGAGGGCCGTCTTGATCCGAAGACCCTGCCTTCTTTGTTCGGTCGCATCCAGTTTGCTGAAGGTCAGTTGCACGGGAGGCTGGGACGATTAGCCCTGGCCGACCTCAGAGCGTGCACGATGAGCTCTCGGGCTCAGGCCCTCGATGCCACAGCTGAGCAGGCCCTTCGCCACCTTAGGACCCGGGTTCTTGGGGGTACCCCTAGGATAGTCCCGGCCTGTGTGGGGTCTCGCCGTTCTGTGATTTTCACGGATGGCGCTTACGAGCCGACGAAAGGTTCTTACCCTGCTACTGTTGGAGGAGTCTGGTACCATTACGACAACGGAGCGTGGTGCACTTCCTACTTTGCATGTGCTATCCCCTTGAGCGTTGTACAGAGCTGGGAGGCTCTCGGGAAAAGGCATTTGATAGGCCCAGTTGAGATGTACGCAGTTGTATGTGCGAGAGAAGCTTGGTCGAAGCACTTGAACATGCAAAGGGTGACCATGTATGTGGATCACTCCGGAGTGTTGGCCTCCTTGGTGAAAGGCTCTTCTAAAGACCCTTTATGGAGGCAGCTCTTGCTGATCTTTGAGAGTTGCGACGCTGAGGCGATGCTCCCTTGGTTTAGCCGCGTTCCAAGTGCAAGCAATCCGGCCGATCCTCCTTCACGTGCCAAGGCGAACTTTCCAGTCAGGGGGCAAGTGTGCAGAGTGTCGCCTCGATGTCCGATCAATGGCAATGCCACGATTGATCTCCTTCTTAAGTGAATGGGGTGTTCGTTGGCGATCCTCGTGTTCGCCATCGATCGGTGCGGGGATGTCACGACTTCCCCCTTCGGCTTTTTCCGGAACAATTTTCTCATTGTTTATATATACTTTGATTTTCCCATATAGCTTGGGAATACTGTGAGTGGAATCGTCTATTGAAATAAAGCAAAGCTCCGTGGGAAATAAGCGACACATGAGGCTTGCCTCTATCAGCTTTATTTTCCTAGGAGAGTTTTGAAAATTCTTGCGAAGTTTTCAAAACGTCTTTGCTTTATTTTCGAACGACATATCATGGCATGAAAGCATGCTTTGAATCGTCCGAGTTAATATCTTTAATTTCCCGCGCCGCCTCGAGACAGGGGTGGGATGGGTGGGTAGCTACTCCCTGGCCAAAGGGCCAGAAATTTTTGTCCCTCCCTCCACAGGCCGAAAAGCCAGCTCCAGCGAGGGACGAGACGCCTGAGCCGGAGGCAGCTCCAGCGAGGGACGAGACGCCTGAGCCGGAGGCAGCTGAGGCAAGCAATCGGCGACTCGGCCAGGCGGCCGAGGCAGAGGTGGCAGAAGAGGCACCGCCGCCGCCCGTTCCCGAGGCATCCCAGAAGCGGCGGAGCAAGGACGGTCCCTGGGGCCCCTATCCTGGGGTCGCTCCCTTCTACATATCGAAGCTGCCGGTCTGGGACATCCGTGGAGCGGACGAAAGGGTGCAATGTCCGGTGTGCTGGTTGACGAAGCCGCGCAATACCCTGTATCTGCATTTGCTTAGCAGCAGTGCTTGCTTGGCATATCAAAAAGCCGAGAAGCCGAAAAAGGACTACAGCTGCCACCATTGCGGAAAATCCTTTTTCCAAAAGGCTGACAAAGATCAGCATGAACAGGGCTGTGGGTCGCAAAAACCGGCCGAACCGCAGAATCGCCCGGAGCGGCATCGGGAGACTCGGGCGCTTCAGCGGCCGGAGCGGCCTCGGGAGGCTCAGCGACCGGAGCGGTCCCAGCGACCGGAGTGGCATCGGGCACCGGAGCGGCCTCGAAAGACTCGGGAGTCTCGCGAGCCAAAGCGGATTCTGGAGAGTCGGGAGCCCGAGCGGCGGGAGCCGGAGCACCGTGCTGAGAGTAGGGAGCCACGGCTGCGGCTGCGGAGCAGAGGCGAGCGCATTGACTCCCGCAGCCGAACCCGCAGCGGGCTCCGGCGGGAGGTGGAGCGCAGCCCCAGTCGCCGCGTCTCTTCCGAATGGCTTCAAGAGAAGCAGACTTCTGGGCCACAGGCGCCATCGGCACCGGCAGCTCAAGGGACAGTGGTGGCCGAGGAAGCACCGCTCATGTCTGCAGCTGCGGCAGGTGCTGGTGGTGAAGATCAGCGAAAGCTGGTGGTCTTTGAGAGGCTGCTAGCCTTGGGCGAGAAGATCCTGTAGCCGCTTGTAGGTTTCACTTGGCTTTGGCAGAGCAGCGGCAGTGAGCCTCAGTGAGCTCGATCTCGAGTTTCATGAGTCGGTGAGCTCCCTGAAAGAAAGTGTGCATTCCCCCTATACCTTTTAAAGTCTTAGGTACAGGGTGATACATGTTTAAAGGTGTATTTTGTCCGGGAGCCACCGTGCCCATGATCTCGGCTTGGGCTTTGTGCAAAGGCGATTTCCTTCGAAGAAGGTTTGCAGTGTTGCTTGAAGCTTGGATATCATTTATAAGGTGAGACATGGATAAAGATGTTGTGCTCGGGAGATGCCTGCCTTTTCTCACAGCAACGACCCTCCGTTGCAGCCGCCAGCAGAAGCTTGGGAGACTTGAGAGTCCTTCGGAGTTGATCTTCAGAGCTGCTAGTTTGTGAGCTGCAAAAGTCTTGAGTTGTTCCAACCTATGCCTTGTTCAAAACCGGGGAAGCTGCTTGATAAGCCTTTGTTGTGGAAGCATGTTCTGTTTGAAGTAGCATAGGCCTCCAACGATAAATCATGCTGGTGAATCACTCGCGATGTGTTGCTAGAAGCGCAAAGCTCTCCAATGATAGGCCGCGACTCTTTCTTTGAATCATTAGGCCATCAAATGTGCATAGAACACTGCATGTGCATAGAGATTATCCTGCCATGTGCGAGCCGACTCTTACTTCGTATGGTTCCTATGTATTGTATCTTGTCTGTCAAACCAAAGCCAATATCCTGGTGTGTCCTGCCGCCGGTGTCCCACTGTGTCCCGCTGTGTCCCGCCGTGGCCCGCTGTGTCCCGCCGTGGCCCGCGGTGTCCCGCCCGTGTCCCGCCCGTGTCCCGCCCGTGTCCCGCCCGTGTCCCGCCGGTGTCCACCATGAAACCACTAGAGACCTCTTCAGCAGACTTGACCAGCCTCTTCCATGGCAACATCTTGCGACCATGTTGGCGGCGAAGCGTAAGAAACAGGAGTCTAATCGACGTCACCTTCCAGCGCGAGACATCACTCAGTGGCTGGATCTTCCTTCCAGTCCAGCACTTATTGACAGTGCCACCGCTGAGAAGATCACGGGAACACACGAAGAGAAATGCACTGTGGAGCCGACGCTATCTTGCCCAGACTGCAAGTTTACATGCCGCAGCGCTGCAGCACTTAAAACACATCAGCGCAATGAGCATCCGGATCGAGCCTCGAAGTCTTCTACCATTGTCTTCGAACCACTTCGTGATTCCTTTCAGGGCACAGCAGAGTGCAGGCATTGCGGCTTGAAGTTGCGGCACAAAACCAACTTGGTTCAGCATATCGTCGGCGGTGCATGTGCTAAGTTCGATGAGGATGCAGGCTTTGCCATTCAACCACTGTGGACCCGGACCGACTTCGAGTCTTCACTGGCTCAGGGGGGGCTGTTAAGCTGCTCATGCAGGATCAATGCTGTGCTGCCATGCGCGGTGGTTGCGGTTTGTGTGGACAACAATGTACACTCAAGGGCTTGTCAAAGCACCTTGCATACAGTCATGGAGCTATTGCGCAATCCATCCGGGAGCGATCGAATGCTTTGCACAGGGAGGTTGTTGTTCCCAAAAGCAGCGGGGTCTGTAAATTTTGCATGGAGCGACTTTCAGGTAAATCGACTCATGTGTGCAATGTGGTGCTACATGCTGCTGCTCTCGAGTTTGTCTTCAAGTCCCAGCCGTCCAGTACAGCCGTTGAGGAGTCAAGGCCAAGTGATGCTGACGATGGGCGCCCAAGTACCTCAATCTCGAAGGCAGTGCAGTCCGGAGCATCCGCCCAAGCCATCAGTTTGCCACGTGTGCATTGCCCGCATTGTTCTAGAGCTTTCTCTGACAAGGCGAAGCTCCGAGATCACCTGCGTCACAAGCCGCCCAAGTACAGGCCCCGATGCACTCAGGTGGAGCCAGGACGTGTTAGATGCAAACGGTGTGGTGAAGAGATGCCTGCATGCTTGTTTCCAGCACATTACCTTGATAAGCATGCTGCCGATGCCAAACAAGCTACGTTGGATGGCTCGAATCTCGTGACCAGAAAAGGACAGACCTTGGACCCAGCTCGCCGGGATCAGACCTCAGCCTGCACATCGACGGCAAGTAAAGATGACTGCGGCCAGCTTCTTCCAGGATCAGAGCTTCCCCGACCAGTGGATGGAGGGCGAAGATCAACCGCACCTGGAGCTGATGGAGACCATAGCGCCTTTCATGACGGGTCACACGATGGGCCCGATGAACATGGCAGACGGTTTTCATTCCCTCTTCCAGACTCCCACGCCGAATCGACAGGGAATGATGAGAGGTCAGCATTCACAGAAGCGACAGCGCGGATCACAAGGTCATGCGCAGCAGGTGAGGGGCCCCGGTCCCGGTCTAGGACCCCAAGGCGTGTCGCTCCCGGCTCTGATACGGATGATGGCAATCCAGCTACAGCGCCAGGAAGAGGCATTGCGAGTACTGGCGCAAAGCACCGAAATGATGTTGTTCATGCAGGCAGGGCCAGGCTCTTATCTGCCCAACCTTCTTCAGTTGAGCCAGACGTGGCATCAGCAACAGGCGGCGAGGCAGGTGGACAAGCCATTGCGTCAACACATGTCGGTGGCTCTGTGGACGGAGCTCGGAGCACGGGTCACGAAGGCCCAAGAGCAAATAGCCCAGGAGCTGGGGCAGGGGCTGATGGCAAAAAAGATCCTCAATGCGGAAGGGTCTTGGGCATACATGGCGTGGGACCAGGCGACGAAAAGTCTGGTTCCCACGACGCGAGAGCCCATCAAGATGACGGACATGCACCAGCTGCTGAAGGTGATCATCGAGCACCTCAACATGCCTGGAATGGTCACGCGCTTCAAAGCACACAAGGCGCTAAAATCAGTGAACATGCAAGAGGCGGCCTGTGTAGTCCCGTGGCAGCTGGATATCTCCTTGCGCCACCCTCAAAGCTCGCGCTTGTGGACGAGTCTCGTGACACTTCAGGGGAATGGAGTGCTACAACTTCTCAACACACAGATGCGAGCGGCCACCCTTCGGCGGTCCAAATTGTGCGATCAGATTGCCCAGCAGGTGTTCAAGAAGAATGGCAGGGCTTTCTAAAGCAGCTGACACTTCACAATGCTGATCAATGCTGCTATGCCAACTCAGTGATCTCAGCTCATTTGTGGGCTTTGATGACGGGGCCCTCACCGTGTAGTGAGTCGATTTGGGTACAGCACCTACGTAGGACTTTGGTGGCGCATGAGTGGCAAGGTTACCTCAAACATCTCCCCCCGGTCGATTCCCTTATGAAAGACTGGTTCACCGAACATAGCGATCAACGACAGCATGATGCCGCCGAGTTCTACCATTGGTGTATGCAGACTAGTCAGTTTCAACAGCATTCGGGGTATTGGTGGCGATTTGAAAAACATGCTTCGCTGCTACATGTGTGCATCCCGCTCTTGCTGCAGCACGGCGCTTTGAGTCTGCAGTCGTCTATTTCGCAGTGGCACAGGAGTTCTGATGTGGTACATGTTATGTGCTCCCAGGCCCAGTTCGTGTGCATGCAAATCGGAGACCGACTTCGAGCAGAACAGCCGCAATGGCCTGAGATACTTGATCCGGATTTTCGCTTGACTCTGCCTCACCTTGTGGATGACGCTGGAGTTCCATCTGATGATAACGTGGAGTGGCGAGCATACCAGGTCAGTGCATGTGTACTTCGCAAGGGATTTCAGAGGGAACATGGGCATTGTCAGGCGATGCTCTTCAGCACATCGGGCGTCTACTTGTGCGATGATGGCCGGAGTGCCAAGCTGCTCAACGATGGCGACGCCATTAAGGAGTTACAACACATATACATGCTTTGGGTCGTGCGTGATCCCGATGCTCAGGTCCCCCAGTCATGGACAGACGATGCGATCGCTGCGGTGGCGGTGCCGAGCAACTCATCCAAGGCCTCGCTCCTGGGTGCATCATTTTCGATTGCCGATCTCTTGCAAGCTCACTTTGGATGAGGAGCGTGTCTTCACTTGAGCTGGTGACTTTGAGCGTGGCTGAGTTCCTTCTTTCTTAAGCTAATTTCAAGACGAGTGCGAGCTGCATGATGCATGTTTTGTTACACGGGTCCATTCGGGCCAACTTGACGACTGCTGGAGCGTGATGCCCTGAGCGCATTGCGTGAAATGTGCTCCCATGTATACAGCTTCGTTGCGGTAACAGTTTTTCCAGTGCCTAGTTCTAGAACAAGAAAGGTGGGCCCCAAGATGCCTGCGCTGGAATCTTATGCTGTTGTTTCCGAGTAACATCATTGGGCCAGGGAACTAGAACAAAATCAAAACTCCCACCAGAAGGAGCCCTGGACCATGTAAGACACTACTGTGCATAGTTTCAAGGAGTGGCCGCCGAGCTGAGGCACATGCGGGGGTGCGGTACAGGTTGGAGCTTGGAGCCGATTATTAACCGACCATCCTTTGGTCAAATGAATTCTCTTTTGGTGATGCCTGGGAGAACCCGTTGAGGCATTACATCGTTAAGTCGATATGTTTTTGAATTCGTTTGAACTTCGCTCATTAATTTGTTTTGGCTCGTACTCGGATGCTTTTTGATGTGAGACCATACGCAGTCACACACATCTGTATAGCATTATGGGAGAGTGTTTTGGCCACTTTTGTACAGTTTTAGTGGGCCAAAACGACACCAAAATTATGATGCGCGCGCCCGCGGGGGTTGAGAACGTGAATGGCTTTCGAGGATGAAGCTCCTCGTTTATGGCCTTTCCTATTGCATGTTTTTGTACTTTAATCCAAACTTTTATTTGGTCGCACTCTTCAATTTCATTTCCCGCATCTTTCTGTAGTTCTTATGGCTGGGCTGCAAAGGCTTTCTAAGGCACCACGATGCACGGCCTGCGCCTACGCTGTCTGTTTGTGTTTGTCCTAGGGGTAAGCTCGTCTTTAAGACGACCTGTGTTGTGTACAGTCAACGATACAGTAGGCCCACGACAGCGTCGGAGACGACAGCTTCGTTGCAAAGCAAAAGCCGGTGTCCCGCCGGTGTCCCGCCGGTGTCCCGCCGGTGTCCCGCCGGTGTCCCGCCGGTGTCCCGCCGGTGTCCCGCCGTGTCCCGCCGTGTCCCGCCGGTGTCCCGCCGGTGTCCCGCCGTGTCCCGCCGTGTCCCGCCGTGTCCCGCCGGTGTCCCGCCGGTGTCCCGCCGTGTCCCGCCGTGTCCGCCACCGGTGTCCACTGTCCCGCCCATAGCGTTTCCTGTCTGTTTCCAGGCCCGCGGTGTCCTGGCAGGTGTCCGGCCGGACGCGCGGGGTGTCCGGCCGGACGCCCGGGGTGTCCGGCCAGACGCTTCCGGAGGCAATTTTTTGGTGTTTCTATTGACTGTTGTCGTTATCTGTGTTTTTTTTGTCGTTTTGGTCACTTCGGGTTAGTTTTTCAATGAATTTTCTATGCTCGTGTCAGATTTGATATTCGTTGTGTTCACACCACATCAGCTTGGTAGTCTTTGTAGCATTACGTGCATGTCCAAGCATGCACGGGCAGCGTGTGCGTGAAGTGTTGCTGTTCTGGTGGTAACGACATGCCGACAAGCGTGAAGTCTCCAGCCGCAGGTTGTTCTTCTCTCAAGCCAGTATCTCCAGCGAATTCACAGACACACGCCTCCTCCCATAGTCATGGGCAAACGAGGTCGTCAAGCGACACCATCCCCTGCGAGAGAGCAAGGCGGCAACGAGAGCAGTTCTGGGAGCAATGGGGGGAATGACAGAGCTGAGAGGTCCAGGTCTCCAGTTCCGCCGCCCCCCATCTGGAAATGGTGCTGGAAAGTAACAAACGGAGTCTGGTGGTGGTTGTGGTGGCGAGAATGAATCAGGGCCCGCCACCCGGTCGGTCCATTTACCATGGGGCGTCCTTCGTCCCGGATCTTCAGAACTCAGAAGTTCCTGTTGAGCCGCCACAAAGATGAAGCATGAAGATGTCTTGTATAGCCGCTGGTTTCCAGTTGGAATTGCACGAGTGCACGAGGGCCACAACATTTGTGGTTGCCGCCAGTTGCCGGTCTCTTCAGTTTGCTTGTGGTTCGAAAGAACTGCAGCACATTCTAAGAGCATGGCCGGGTTTGCATTCAAACCCTTGCATCGACAGAATTTCGTTTGCTGCAGAGACAAGAGAAACACACGTGGGAAATACTTTGGGGTTTTCAGGTCGCTTCAGATTTGTTTAATGACGAGGTCAACGAGTCGCAGTTTGGGGTGTGGGTTTAGTGTCTTGCTAGGATAACGTAAATTTGTGCTTCCGGGTCAGTCAGCGGCAGCTCCTATGATAAAGTGAGGATTTCTGCTGCACATGCTGCAGTGCAGATCAAACAATTCTTTCACACAGCAGCCGTTTGCTGACCGAGTCTCCCCGTGTCTCCCCTGCCTTTGGCATGGCTTCCGCAGAAACTAGCTGTGCGGTCTCCTTAGAGCACATGCTTTACAAGCTGGGTGGCCCTTTCCGGCTGCTGTCACGGCCCTTGCGGGTGTGTGAACCCTGTGTCGGCATCGGGGGCCTGCGTCGGCTGATTCTGGCTTGCGGAGGTCAGTATGAAGCCACCGCAGCTTACGATGTGGATATTGCCTTAGGGGCTTCGTACAGCAGCCTGCAAAAGCACGAACCTAGTGCGGCAGGGGATACCTTGGCCAAGGTTCACATCGGCCCATTGCAGGGGGACATTCTGAGTCTCTCCCTGCTCGAAATGGAAACCTGTGAAGCCTTGGTGGGAGGGCCTCCGTGCCAACCGTGGTCGGCGTCCGGAGAAAAAGCCGGCTGTCAGGATGCCCGTGCGGATGTTATGGACCAGACCATCAACATGGTCATCGAGCAGGCGTGGCGAGGTCAGCTATGCATTGTGGTCCTAGAGAACAGCAGCCTTTTGCTGACAAGTCCGTTCCTTGCTGAGATCATGAGGCGGTTGGAGATCTCGGTACCCTTCTTCCACTGGGAAGTATGCAAGAGTGACCTCTCACGAATTTTCCCACACTCCAGGGAGAGATGTTGGTTGCGAGGAATGCGTCGGGATGCAATGCTAGCATCCAAGCTGCCAGCACCGTTGCAGATGGAAGACCTGGGAGGACATGTCCCTCTACAGAGCTTGCTGGACACTGGGGTGCAGCCATTTAACCCCATGAAACTCAGCAAGAACCAACAGTGCAACCTGGTTGCTTACATGGAACAAATACGGATTGATGCTGCCAAGGGTGTTGCAGGGCAAATTGCTTTGTTCGAATTAGACAGGTCTCCCTTGAAAGCTTTCGGGGAGAAGATGATGTATGACCGCTGCATGGCTTTGCGAACAACAGGGCCTCCGATTTTCATGGTGGTGACCAGCGAGGTTGACAAACCCTGGTCGGAGCACACACTGCATCGTTTCCTCTCCTTGGAGGAAAGATGTAAGCTCCAAGGCCATGAAGGGACTTTGGCCCTTCACTTTCCAACAAAGGCGGCTTTGCTCAGGGGCACGGGGAATGCTTTCCACCCGTTACACCTGGCCTCCATGCTCATGCCCATGGTCCGAGAGGCATATCTCACCGGTGTGTTGAGCCCGGCTGGTCCCAACAGCCTGTCCGGCCAGCAGTTGCTTGAGTTGTTGCCTGGGGCAGAGGAATTGCTGGCCGGTTCGCTTTGCTCGGCAACAGAGGCTCTGAAAATTGGCCACAAAACACCACAACAGTTTGGCCTTGATGGGGGGAGATCACAGACTCCCGCCACGACACCCGGAGAGAAAACCTCACAGCAGTTTGGCCTTCGTCGGGGAGATCACAGACTCCCGCCACGACACCGGCAAAGAAAACCTCGCAGCAGTTTGGCCTTCGTCGGGGGAGATCACGGACTCCCACCACGAGACGGAGCAAGAAAACCTCGCAGCAGTTTGGCCTTGATGGGGGGAGACCAGAGACTTCCGCGACACCCGGAGAGAAAACCACGCAGCAGTTTGGCCTTGATGGGGGGAGATCAGAGACTTCCACGACACCCGGAGAGAAAACCTCGCAGCAGTTTGGCCTTGATGGGGGGAGATCAGAGACTTCCGCGACACCCGGAGAGAAAACCTCGCAGCAGTTTGGCCTTGATGGGGGGAGATCAGACCCATTGGAAGAGCCTTTCTTTTCAGATGGCGAGGCGTTCTCGGAGTTCGTCAAGACTCCACCAAAGACCGTGCGACGGACATCCAACATCAGGACAAGACTGCGAGGCAAGCAATCTCCTGCGGCTACAGTTGTGGTAGGTGCAAAACCAGCCCAAACGTGGCCTGCAGAATTCTTGCGGAAGCAGCCGAAGCGGACCTTGGTGCTAGACTTGGCCACCCCTCAGAAAGGCGCCAAGAGAAGGAGTGACTCGTAGCTAGAATTACAATTGCATAGTGCAGCCTATAGCAGTTTCTGGTCGAACCTGATGACAGGCTTGACGGCCATGGACCTAGTTCTAGTTTTCATAGGTCTCTGTGTGCACAGTAGAGTGCCGGTGAAGCTTGCCTGTGACTTGCTACTCTGTTGCATGATCATAGGTTACAGACATGAGGTTTTGTGAGTAGGAAAGCATCAGCCAGGCCTGGTTTCACTGGTACCTTGTAATTGGTTACGTGATTAGTGCAATTCGAATGCATGCTCCTCGAAATACTTCGCAGGAAGTTTGGAGAGTAGCTGACTACATGCAAGCCCATAAATTGGTTTGTCTCTCGTGTTCCTCGGATGCTTCTCGTATCGTTTTGTTCTTCTTCGTGCACATCCGGAACCCATGCCCTTGCCTAATATAGCCATATTCAAGAGCATCACGGCGGCCCTTTTGCACTCCGGCACGTTGAGCAAGGAACCATGGCAGCTGCCCCCACACCGTCGGCTCCCCTGGTGTGTCAGAAGTGCCAGGAACCCACGACCATGAGTTGCAGCTCGGCAACGGGCCGCAACCCGTTGTTGAGAGCCTGCAACGGATGCCTCGCGACGGAGAGATGGTTGACACGTGCCAGCGCCAGGCCGAAAGTCGGCAAGACTGAGTCCGAGCAGGACAAGGAGCGGCGGGTGTCAGCCCTCCAAGTAAAGGAGGACCTCAAGCAAAAAACGCCAGAAGAAAAGGCTCAGTGGTACCAAAGCCAGAAGCTGCAACGTGCCCAGGAGGAGCAGTCCAAAAAGAGGACTTTCTCCTCCGCGGTCGGATCTGTCGAAGACATCCGTGAGAAACAGAACATCTCGGACGATGTCGAGAGTTTCGTAACCTTCCGCACCTGGGCACAACAGGAACTCACCCTCAAAACGTTCTCGACTCTTGCAGAGGCAAAAGTTGCCTGGGAGAAGAAAATCAAGGACCCCAACACGAGGACCATGCAGAAGCATGGTGAGACACTCATGTATGAATTCCGGGGAGTCGAACTGAGGGGACGAGATTCCCACGGACTGCGAGCGGGATTGCGACAGCGCATGGACATCGGCTCCCAGGAAGACCTCGACGAGTATCACGAGGAGAGCGGGAGCAGGATGAAGCGAGCTCGCCAACGGTTGGACATTGAGACTGCGGCCAAGTTCGAGGCCGGGGAGGCCGAGCTGGAGAAGCCGGTGCCGCTTTTGACGGTGTCCAAGGACATCGGCCAGCTGAAAGAAATCGAAGAGAGCAGGGACGAGGAGCTGTTTTCTCTTGCCACGAAAGTTGCAGCAGAGAAAAAGGCCCAACAGGCCTTGAAGAAAGAGGAGCTGGAGAAGAAGCCCAAGAGTCTCCCACTGGAGAAGCTCGCCTTCGAGGCGGCTCGAAAGAAGGCCATCCAGTCCATGAGCGACGTGGGGCTGCGGTTGCGCAACAGCCTGACAGCTCAGGACACGGAGCTGGAAAAGACCCTGGAGACGGAGAGCCAGGATCTGCGAGACGAAAGGAGCGAGAAAGTGAAGGAGATCGACCAGATGCTGGCCTCTGTGCAGGAGGCAATGCAAGAGAAGGACCTTGAGTGGAAAGAGTGGGAGAACAGCACCTGCCCAGAGGATCTCGCGGTGAGCCGCGAGAAAATCCAGCAGTTCATTAAGAGCTACCACACTGCCGAGCCCAAGCTGAAAGCTGTCAAGGACAAGCTGACAGATCTGCGCCTTTGGCATGGTAAGTTAAAGAAAAGCATCAACGACCGGGAGAAAGCAGCAGCAAAGACATCAGCCAACAAGAAGCTGTCCGGTGGTGAGAAAAACCTCGCACTTCTTGCCGCCGATCTATGCGGCTGCACCCTGGAGCCGACAGGCTCCGTGGACTACTCCTACATCGGCCCGAACTTGCTGAAGAAAAACTCCCCGCTCGTGTTCGAAAAAGCCCGCAGCAGCCAGCTCACGGCAACCATCCGGGGCCTGGAATATTACCGCCTGCAAAAATCCTGGGTTGCGGAGAAGATGAAGAGTGCGAACACTTCCTCCTGCACGGCGATGATAAGCAAGAAGCCGGTGGTGAAGAAGTTGGGGGATGTGTTGCTTCGGTCCTGGTCAGAGATCTACGGCGGAGCAGAGGAGCGGGCCTGTCTCACGGGCGTTCCGGAGGATATGAAAGACCACTTCGTGGTCCAGTTCGGACAGCGGATGAAGAAGACTTGCAGTGTTCTCTTCCGCACGGATCTTAACCTGCCCACCCTGGTGGTGGTGCTGGAAGGCCGCTTGACCATCGGAGGGTTTCGCCAGCGAGTGCTCAAGGGGAGCACAGAGGCGGAAAAGGCAGCTGAGTTGGATGCCTTGAAGGCACCGGATGTCCAAGCTTTACTGGGCCTGCCCAGTTGAACTGTTGAAACCTTCGAATTTTGGGCGGCCGGGCGGGAAAGATGATTTTAGTTTTGAGTTTACGAGTATTCGTTTTTAGTCCTCAATTTCTCAGTACGTTTCAGCTCCTTTTCAGTTGTCAGTGAGAATCCATCCTTTCGTGATGTTTAGGCTCAGTTTTAGTTTTTGGTAGTGTGGGGCAAAGGCTCCATTCGGACGTAGATGTCATGGCCGGAGCTGCAAGGGCAGGAGCTTGCACTCCTTAAAGGGGCATTCGCAAACCCCAGGCAATTGCACGCAGCCTTCGATGGTCGCGAGGAGGCGGCTGAACTAATAGAGGTGTTCATGCCAGGCATCAACAGAGATGGGAAATATCAGAGAGCTGATGTTCTTGTGACATGGGCACGAGAAAACGAATCAGCAATCAAGCGGCAGCGAAGGGAGTCATTGCATGGTATGTGGGAAGTGCTACCACAGCAACGTGTGGTGCCGAAGCTGACAGACACATTTGATGAGCTGGCAAGGAGCAACCCGCTTGTCCTGCTGCCGGCGCTGCAGCGGAAGAGGCGCTTGCTTAAAGAAAATACGGACGCTACACAGCGCGCGAAGGAGGAACAGCTCGCAAAGAAGAAGTATGCCTTACAATTGGCCGGGATACTTAAGGAAGCGAAGTTGCCACTGGTGCAACAGCTGGAGGGAGTGGACCAGCCTGAGGAAGTTTGGCCACGGATATTTGGAACCCGCAGGAGCAAAACGCTGCGAAACCGCTTGAAGGCTTGGCAACCCTTTAGGACGTGGCTGCAGTGCGTCCATGATGCGCAATGGCCGACTAGCGTGCGGCAGCTGATTGATTATAGCAATGAGAGATTTCAAAGTGAGTGTGGCAAGACAGTGCTGAACAGTTTCCAGGCGTCGCTGGCTGTCTTGGAGCAGGTGGGAAAGGTCGCTGAGACACAGCGGCTATCGAGCGACACAACATGGCTGGCACACTTGAAGTCATTGACTGCAGACTTGGTGGGTGAGCAAGCGCCCGTACAGCAAGCCCCAATGATGACGGTGGCTATGATCATTTCACTTGAGCTGCACATTGCGAGGGAGGACGAGCCTGAGTATGTACGGGCAATGGCATTCGTTGCGCTGCTGGCTGTGTATGGTTCCATGAGAATGGACGACTTGCAAGGGATGCTGCCGGCTACCATGCGGCTTACTGCACAGGGCTTCAGAGCTACGCTTGGACGCACCAAGACAACAGGCGTCGATCGGCGCAACAAGGAGGTCACAGTCTTCATACACAGGCAGGCGGGTTTGTCCGGCTTTGATTGGTTAGGTGAGGGTTTCGCGCTTTGGAAGAAGTATACGCAGCCGAGAGACTACCTAGTCATGACTGCCAGGGACGATTGGAAAGGGCCAACTAAGCATTTCGCTAAGAGCGAAGTTGTCGCTGGCTATGTGCGTGAGGTTTTCAAGAGGCTTGCAACGCCGAAGTTTCAGGATGGGGCATACCGCCTCAACTTGCAGAGATACCTCCTGGTGGAAGGGGCTCAAGGCTTCTTCACGGGGCATAGCCCACGCAATTGGCTTACTTCAGCCGCCGCAGTGTTGGGTTGGACTAAGGATCAGAGGGATTTCTTGGGTCGTTGGCTTATCGGTGGTTCTGGTTCAGCTGACTACACGCGCACATCCCGGGAAGTCGTGCATCGTATTCAGATCGGAGTCTGCAGAGCAATTGTCACCGGCCAAGGGGGCGAGTATCAAGAGATCGAGGCCCTCGAAGAGTTAAAGGCTTATGTGGACGAGCGTGGAGGTTCAGGTGCATTGGCAAGGAGGCGGCATGACATTCTTAGGACTGTGGGAGGTGCGCGCTGCTTGGGTAACAAGTGGCCTGTCATTGAGTTAGATGATGCAGATGCCAGTGAGGAGGAGGAGGCTGCCGAAGCCATGACCGTTGAGGGCATTGCCACAAAATACTTTATTAGCATCAGTCGTAAGACGGGCCATCGCAGGTTGCACTTGAACGGGCCGTGCCATGTCAAACCACATCATTGCAATAGGGTCGAGTTTGTCGAGCGTGTCACATTGGAGCAGATTGACAGCATCTGTCGTGATTGCAAGCATAGGATGAAGGAGGATCAAGGTTCCGAAGAAGACCAGGACACTAGTAGCGAGAGTGGGTCCACAAGTGACTCGAGTAGCGGCGAGGGGTGAGTTTCAGATTGAAGCATGTTGACAAATCACTTGTTGCGGTAGGCATGTGCAGTGTATGGGGTGCGACACGTACATGGCTGATTCGCTGTGCTGATTTGTAGGTGCTTGCGTGAGGAAGTTTGGCTGAGGTGTCATCGCGGAGTGTCAGCATGTCCATGATTTGTGAGCCACATGAGTTTACATTGAAAGCTTTGAGTGCTTAGAGTTCTTCACCTCTGCTTTAAGAGCTACGTGACTTTCAGTTGCCATGGGCTACCGCTGAGATTGCGGTTTCAGTCGCACAGCACCGTGCTGTTTCAGATAGTATGGCGTTGCCTAGCGAGGCGGATCAGAGAGCTGAAGTTGCGAAGATGGATTCAGACTTGCAATATGTGCTTCAGGAAGCCAGTGCGTCACTGGCCACACAATATCAGGTTGCTCGGCTCCATCAGAGTCGTAGGCGATTCCAGGCGATCGCCGATAACCGCGAAGGTGCCAGGACAGCGGCACGTGACTTCGGGATTAATCCCGATACGCCTGCAGGCCGTGTTGAGGTGGCCGCGATAGTAGCTGCATGGGAACTTGCAAAGGAGTATGCGAGTAAAGAAGTCGAGCTTCGTGCGGAGGCGAAGGTGTTAGGCCATAAGAGGATCTTGCAAGTGCAGGAACGCCAAGCTATGTTGAAGGCGGTGACGGATGCATACGGGAAGATGAATGAAAGCGAGACGCCAAGTGCGGAGTACTTGGCCACCAAGGCCGAAGAATGCGAGAGCAACGAGCCCCTAGCGAGTTCACTTGATCGTATCTCTTCAAAGAAAGATTCGCAGGTGGAGAGCCTCCAGACAAGCATTGATCCCACTGGGCATGTTCGTGTGACAAAGACGATGCAGAAGTTGGAAATGCCGCATCACTCCGAGGGCTACCGTCGCTTGATGAAGGTGGAGGCCCATGCCTGGCTCTGCATGAGTGCCCGATTTAAGGCGAAGGCATGGTTGCAAGGGCTTCAGCTTGAAGATTTTACAAGGTTTGTAGAATACATCTTGGGAGATCGTGTTGGCAATTTGAAGTTGCCCACTGCTTCAGGGCAGGAGACGCAGTTCAATCGGCCACCTTGGAACATGCTTCCATCATGCGTGCGTGAATGGGTTTTATTTCCCGCCGAAAGTGTAGACAAAGTTTGGTCGTAAAAGGAAAACAGTGTTTTCACTTGTGTGTTGTGAACACTAGACAAACTTTGCCGTGCAGCTTTCGGCTTGAAGTGGATCTGTGATCCAAAAGTTTTTATCTCTTGTGCTGGTGGGCTAGTAGTCCCTTTGATCTAAAGTGATCTTCTAGTAGAGTAGCGGCGGGCTAGTAGCCCCTTTGATCCAAAGTGATTTTCTGGTAGAGTAGCGGTGGGCTAATAGCCCCTTTGATCCAAAGTGATTTTCTGGTAGATTAGTGCTGGGCTAGTAGCCCCTCTGTCGGGCCGGTAGTTTCTGTAGTGCCATGGACGGTGCCGTAGCAGCGCTACTGGCAGGCAGGCAGCAGTGCTGCCCATGCCTTTCATCCGAAACTTCAGGGCAGTGCCCCGAAGCTTGGGACCCTCATGCGGTTTGCTCACTGTTTAGTAAGCGGTGTTGTGCTGCTCGGTGTCGCTCTGCAGCGGCACTGTTGGTGGTTCTGCAGTTCGGCTTCTGCAAGCAGCAGTGCTGCACGTAACCAGGCAGCAGTGCTGCCGATGCCTAGTATCATACGCCTTAGGTCAGTGCCCTGAGGCTTCAGGTTCATGTTTTTCGTTCTGCAGGCAGGCTGGCAGGCAGCAGCACTGCCTAAGCCTCGCATCCTCAACCTCGAGGCAGTGCCCCGGGGTTCGTGGCCTCCTTGCAGGCATCGGCTGTCAGTTAACAGGGTGGTTCTGCAGTGCAGCTTCTGCATGCGGCCGTGCTGCGAGAAACCCGGTAGCAGTGCTGCCGAGGCCTAGTGGCAAAACTTCCGGTCAGTGCCCCGAGGCTACAGGTTTGGGTTTTCATGCTGCAGGCGGGAAGGCAGCAGCGCCGCCTACGCCTCGCATCCTAAACCCCAGGGCAGTGCCCCGCTGTAAACAGCGTCCTTGCAGCTTCTGCATGCAGCAGTGCTGCAAGTAACCAGGCAGCAGTGCTGCCGATGCATAGCATTATAAACCTCGGGTCAGTGTCCCGAGGCTCCAGGTTCATGTTTTTGGTGCTGCAGGCCGGCAGGCAGCGGCACTGCCTACGCCTCGCATCCCAACGCCCAGGGCAGTGCCCCGAGGTCTGAAGCCCCCTTCCCGGCATCTGCTGCTTTGTGACAGTGTCCCTGCAGCCGCACTGTTGGTGGTTCTGCAGTGCAGCTTATGCATGCAGCAGTGCTGCGAGGAGGCAGGCAGCAGTGATGCCGCTACCTTGCGTCCTTAGCCTCAGGTCAGTGCCCCGAGGCTTCAGGTTCATCCGTTTAGTACTGCAGGCACGCAGGCAGCAGCACTGCATACGCCTCGCGTCCTAAACCCCAGGGCAGTGCCCCGAGGTTTCCGCCTTGCAGGCATCTGCTGGTTAGACAATTGTGTCAACAGTATTGTGGCTGCCCATTGCCACTTCTGCGGCAGCGCCGTTGGAGGTTTTGCGTGCAGGTTCTGCGCGAGAAAGTGCTGCGAGCAGGCAGGCAGCAGTGCGGCCGATGCCTGGCATCCTAGGCCTCACGTCTGCGCCCCAAGGCTCCAGGTGGTCATGCATTCTTCTCTTGTTGGGTGCACCTGCTGGCTTGTGCCTGTGGCAGTGCTGCAAGCACGCACAAGCAGCGCCGCGTGTGCTTGGCCCCCCCAGTGGGGAGGAAGATGACACGCTAAGTTACAGTCGAGGCTTAAGCACGTCCTTGCCTGAGAAGGGCGCGTCAGAAAGAAAATGGAGGCCAGTGGCTACGCCTACCACAAGGATGGTAAAGACAATGGCATGGGTAGCTTTGTTCGCACCCTCAGCGAAGGGAGTAAACACAGGAAAACGCAGCCTCGGCCTGCCAGTGGGAAAGCGCAGGGCCAGCGGCTGCTGCAGCCTCCACGTACGTCGTCGGTCCCGGTGCAATGCCACCTCCTAGCATCACTGTCCGGCAGAGCCATGGACAACGCAGGGCGCACGTGCAACCGGAGTCCATACTGGCACTGTAGCATTGCAGTACTCGGGTTAGTAACCCTTTGGCCAGCGGCATGCACCGAGGCGTCTTCGGCAGTGCCGTGTCGCTTTGCTTTTTGTTCGCAGCGCAGTCTGCCAGATATCCTCGAGCAGGCCTTGCGAGAGGTATGCAATGAAGAGGTAAGTTATCTCTTGTGGGTTGTGAGCAGTGCCACCCGCGTCGTTGCGGAGGACGTCAGTGACGATCACTCCGATTTCGCCGTTGAATGAGCTCTGGGAGGCCTCGGTGGGGTCTGTTTTCCGCCGTGTCTGACTCACAGTGCAGGCAGGTAGTTCCAAGCCTAAAGTGCTCGTAAATGGTGTGCCTTTTGGTGTGAGGACCCGCTGCGAGTCCCTAAGGGCCCCTGCGTGTCCCTAAGGGCCCCTGCCAGTTGCTAAGGGCCCCCTGCCCGCCTTTTCCTGTGGGCTCGCATTAGTAATGACGAGCTTTTGTGTTGCCTTAAGGCAGTGCCGTGCAGTGCGCGCACAAGGCCCCAGAGCCCGAGCCCTTAATGCAAAGTTTGCATTGGCACCTTGGCCAAAGCTTGGCGTCGCTGGTATCCATTCGCTTCGTGAGTGACGCCAGCACGGACTCGGCAGTGCCGCTTGTCCCTCGATTCCTCCAGTGTGCTCAAGTGGATGTTCGTGAGGATGTCAACATTAGGAGATAAGTTATCTCCTTTTCGCAGTCATAAATATGCTGGATGTCAGCTGGGGGGCAGTGTCCCGAGGCCTGAGGCCGCCCTACAGGCTTCTTAGTTTTCAGTAAACTGTGTTGTGAATGCTCCATGCTGTCAAGTTTTGGCGCGGGCTGCTCCCGCAGGTCCTTCAGTGCAGCTTCGGCAGGCAGCAGTGCTGCCGATGCCTCACTTCCTAAACCCCGGGGCAGTGCCTCGAGGAGTAGGGCCCTCCGCTTGATTCTTGGTGGTTAGTGCACTGTCTGCCAATGCTTGGTGTGGGTCCAGGCTTTCGTGCGGAGTCCGCAATAAGCTCTGAACCTCTGCTCTTGTTTTCCCCCAAGGCAGCCGTGCGTGTAGCAGTGCTACAGGCATGCAGGCGGCAGTTTTGCCTGCGCATCCTACACCTCAGGGCAGTGCATCGAGGCTTGCACTCCTTCGCCTGCTTCTTGCTGTTTAGTAAACAGTTTGTCAATGCTTGGTGTCCGTCAGGGTCTTGTTGTTAACTCCGCGCTAGGCCCTGCGACCGTTGCTGTTGCAGGGTCGGCCCCCAAAGCATGTTGTTCGCAGCGCAGTGCTGCAGGCACGCATGCAGCGGTGCTGCTAATGCCTCGCCTCATACGCCTGAAAAAAGTGCCCTGAGGTTTGAGGCCTTCAGACTTTCGAGTGTAGCGTGGTTTGTAGCCGTGTTACGTGTCAGCATGCAGCAGCGCTGCTAATGTCTGGCATACTTATCCTCATGGCAGTGCCTTGCCCAAGCAGGAAGTGTTTTTGCATGCTTCCTACTGTTTGGTCCACAATGCTGCGACGCTTCGTCCCGGTTGGGATTTTGGTGCGAAGTTCGCGCAAAGCCCTGTGGATGTAGCAGTGCTACAGGCAAACAGGTCGCAGTGCTGCCGTTGCCTCTATCCTAAACCTCAGGGCAGTGCCTCGAGGCTTGGAATGTTCACGCGGCTCCCTGCTGTTTCGTGAGCAGTGTGACAACGATGTTGCCGGCCGTGGTTTTGGCGCGGCGTTCGGTTTGGTAAACAGTTATGGCAATGCTTCGTCCCGGTCGGGATTTTGGTGCGAAGTTCGCGCCAACCCTGCGTATGCAGCCGTGCTGCAGGCCAGCAGCAAACAGGCATGTGATGTGGTTTCTTTTCGTTTCGCAAATAGTGTGGCATCGGCATCGTTTGTTTTGGTGCGGCGTTCGCGTCGAGCACCGCGGTCGCTGCTGTCCTACAACGCAGCGTAAACGTACGGCCGCGCTAATGCCAAGCATGCAGCAGTGCCGCTGATGCCTCGCATGTCAAACCTCAGGACAGCGCCCCGAGGAGTGCAGGCGGAGCGTGCGGTCCTCATGCACGTTCCTTCCCGTTTAGTAAACAAACGGCCAGGTTTAGTGCAGGTCGCGTGCCTCATGGCTTGAGATCTTCATGCATGCTGCTCACTGTTGAGTAAGCAGTGATGGCGGTGCCTGTTGCCCGTCAAGATCTTGGTGCGGAGTCCGGCTGTTGCTGTTGCGGGGCTTCCAGTTTTGTGCAGCAGGGCTGTCGACAAGCAGGCAGCAGTGCTGCCGTTTCTTCGCATCCTAAACCTCAGGGCAGCGCCCTGAGGCCTGCGACCTTCATGCGGGCTCCGTACTGTTTAGCAAACAGTTAGGCCACGCTTGACGTCGGTCATGGGTCTTTGTGTGGAGTACGCGCCAGGCCCTGCTGCCGCTGCGGCACACCCCAGCAGTTTCGAGCAGTGCTCAACCTGCTAGGGAAGCGATGCAGTGGTCATGCAGCCATTTTTAAGGGCAGTGCCCACAAAGCACTCTCGGGTCGATGGGCAGACAGCGTGCGTTCCTGTGGCAGCGCCACTGCTGCACGAGTGGGCCTATTGGTCATCCCAGGGCAGTGCCCGGGACCGCAGGCATCTCAAGCAGGCTTGGCAGTTGCAGTGCCTCATGCCCTGCCTTGACGAGGCGCGTCGCCCCAAGCAAATGCTTGCTCGCAAGCAAACTCGCCTCTGTGTGCTTCCTGGGCTACCGCCGGTCCAGCCCAGCGCTCGGACAGTGTCTGCGGCCTCTCTACGCCCGGTTTTCTAACTGGACAGTGTCTATAATGACAGTTGCAGACTCGGAGGGCTCCAGCAAGCAAGTCCTCGCGCGTCCGTGATGCGCAACCCATACTATGGGCCACTCTCTTGCTACGCGCCCTCTGAGTCCGTGACGTGTGCCTGTGCGTGCTTCCAAGACGCAGGTGGCACCTTTGGCTGCAGCGCAGGAGCCGTTGCTTCTCAGCCCTGAGCAGCACCAGCAGAGATTCGATTTCACCGCGTGACTCACAGTGTGAGCAGGCAGTTTTAGGCTTCAAATTGTGTGCGAATGGCCGACTTTTTGGTGTAAGGGCCCGCTGCGAATCCCTAAGGGCCCTCAGATGCATACAGACAGCCTCGCAGACAGTGTCTGCTGCGAGCGGCCTCTGTCCACGTGCCGCGCTTTCGTGAATCTCAGTTTTTGCTTCAAGAGACGAGAGCCAGTGGCTCTTACATAGCTCCTTCATCCCGCCAGTTCCTTTCAACGTGGGAGCGCACTCACAGCGCGGACTCACACAGACAGCTCTGCGAGCTGTGTGTGTTGCACACGGCCCTGAGATGCTCTATAAGATGCCTGGTTTCGTTTCAAGTAAACCAGCCAATGGCCCTCGCATAGCCCCGTGGTCCCGCACAGTGCCTTGGAAACAGGAAGACGCACACGCAGTGCGGACGCCGCAGACACCTCCGCAGACAGCGTCTGCCGCGGGCGGCCTCTCCACAGGACGACCACGTTCACGCAGGCACTGCAAGAGCGCACACACAGTGCGTACGCACGCAGACAAACTCGCAGACAGTGTCTGCTGCGAGCGGCCTTTGTCCACTAAAACACGTTTTCGCGGCTCAGTTTCGGTTTAAGGATAACAGAGCCAGCGAATCTGGTGCAGGTGCACTACAGCATGCTCAGAGATGCAATTGTGCGGGCCCTTCAATCTCAGACAGGCTGCGCGAACGCGTCAGTGTACGCAGTTACATGCGCCACTTCGTC